GGGGCGACTTCCCAAATCATGACCCGACGGGCGAGGTCGATATGCCGTCAGAGTTCTCTGAGGGCGCGCCGGATAGAGATCGCACAAATCTGAGTTTTGACCGGTATGTACACCCTAATTGAAAGGAATTTACAATGCATGGGATCTAACAAAGCGACGCAGAGGAACGGCTGAGGGCGATCTGACTCGTCGTTCTAGCTTCGATCTTCAGATGCCTGATTTCCCCGATTTTCCTGATGAAGGGGAGGATGATGCGCCACCCCTTCAATTTGATTCCCCAGAGCGCTCGCCAAGCCAGGCTCGTTCGCTGCTAGAAATTACAGGTAGGGATGTTATGGACGCTGGTGTAGAGCCAGAGGCTGCTCCCGCATTTGATGATTTTGGCTCGGACAGGGGAGAAATAGAGGACTTCTCATCCAGTGATGAAGGTGTCCCAGGAGCCGACGACGGGATAGATGATCGTGGTGCTAGTTTCGATGTCATCGATAATACGGTTGGCGACATTGCAGATATCACAGCGATATCTGCCGTCGCCGCAGATTCTGAACGAACGGAGAAAACCAAGCCCCCGCTGAAGAAGCGGAAGCGCATCTCCCGACATGGCATTGAGTATCCCTCGCTGCCGTCCACCTTCGTGAAGCGAGTCGCGCAAAACGCCCTGCAGAACTCTGGGCTTAGCAATGCCAGAATATCGGCAGACACCCTCGCTGCGCTCGAGCAAGCCTCGGACTGGTTCTTCGAGCAACTAGGTGATGACCTTGAAGCCTACGCAAGTCACGCGAAACGGAAGACCATTGAAGAGAGTGACGTGGTGACCTTAATGAGGAGGTAAGTCTTGATTATATACGCGAGATTCTCTCGGATATCCCATCCTATTGCAGAGCCCGAGGTTGACTTTCTTTTCTTCCGCAGGCAACGCCAAGTGGGTTCTAGTTCTACAGTATTCTCCCTGGCACAGAAACATCTGCCCAGGGAACTCCTTCAGGAGTTGAGGATGCCGCCACCTCAGCCCGTCAAGCGGCGCCAGTCCAAGCGAGCGCGAGACGAAGATGGCAACGGAGAGGAAGCAACATGATTTGTTTCCGCTCTTTTTAATGTTTGTACAATGAGGGTAAGGTTGGGTGCTATAAGTTGTTTTTGTTTTCTTACAGACCTTTGCTGTGTCTGGCACGACGGACTATTTCTGATGAAGGCTTCTTGATGACCATGTAAAGCATGATGGAGGTGGCCACAGCCAAACTGTACCTGTTTGAATGAATTAGCAGGCAAGGATAAACGGAATCGGGGTTTGGCGTTTTGTATATACCAGGTAAAAATGTATTGGGCGTGGTTGTTCTTCAAGGCGACCTCAGCCGCCCGTCCATAGGGAATACCACGGGCTTCAAAGTCGACCATCTTTAAGAAGTCGGGTTCTGCACTCATGTCAGTACGAGATGCGGCCATGGGCAGCAGGTAATAGGGGACGCACCAGCGGTAGCTTCAATCCATACAGGCTGGCTACCAGTGAGCTCAGCCATCTGCTTGACATCGGGGAAGAAGAACTCCCCCCTCTCAGGTCGGTTATCGGGGGTGAAGCTATTCTTCTTCCAAGGTTCCCTCAGCAAGCCCTCGACAAAGACCTCCCCCGTGGGCAGTCCGTCTGGTCTCGTCCTCTGGTCACGGTGCTTCTTGTCGATCCATCCTCTGTTTACCAGCACTGTCGAGGCGTCTTTGCGCTGAAGCGGCGTGATAACCATGTAGCCCTCGGAACCTTCGCGCATCCTGGGCCCAACAAGCATCTCCTGGTCATGGCGGAAATGACCAGAAGCTACAACACGGCGGTGGTCGAAATCGGGAATAACGGCAGGGTCGACGGTGCGAGGAAGAGGGAGAGGGTCGCGGATGAGCCGGTCTTCGTATTTGGCGATAAGGTCAGTCTTCCATCCCAAGCGCTGGACCTGCCAGGTTCCCAACGCAAAGGCGGTGATTGGGATGATGGCTTCAAGAGAAAATGTCAGCTCTGGACATCAATGAGACCAATGCCTTAGCAATTAGATGCTCATACCAAGAATGATCAAGCCTGGGCCGTGTCTCTTGCCGGCTCGGACAAGCTTGGGCGGTGCATCCGCGATGGAGACGAATTCTGGAGTGTCGGCGGCTTGACGGTTCGGCCGGGCTCTGGTCGTCGAGAACAGTCTTCGGGGGGTCGCATTGCGGGCCAGTCGTGCGCAATTGGGTGCGTTGGAAGCGATTCCTGACACGCGGACACCGCGGAGCAGGGACTGCGACGAGTTCATAGCTAGTGAGGGTGGCCGCCGCTGTAGATACTGATCAGGAGATGATGCCTTCCGGACCCTTCGAAGAAATCGTGCTCGTCAGCGGGCGTTAACCAAGACCACCCCCACCTGGCCGTCACCTCCACTATTAGGCCATGAGCTACGGGCTGCTGAGGCGCTCCGAGTGCCCTGTAAATAGTGCCATGTCGGCGGCCCAGGTGGGATAGGCGGGAATGCTGGTACCTGCCGCGGGAGCTCTCATCTGTTCCATTGGATCGCGTTGGATCGATCGACATCCCAGAGGTACCGTGTCAGCCGGGATTGATATGTACATGCTACGAACATTAATTGTTGAGCAATGGCTGTTTCTTCTCATTACTGAGCACTTCTAGTAAATCGACACATGCCGAGGCTAACTGGCCTCTTGGTCTTTGCTCCCCACGAGCAAGCAGCACAGACCAATCATTCCAAGGTGCCTGCCCAGGAGCGCATGGCTGAAAACAGGTACTAGAGACAGCAATGCGCCTCTCACCGCCTGCCTCGCTTAGCCTCCATACTGCCGGTCCGGATGCGAGTTAATATGGAGAACATGGTCCCGTGCATGCATCACAGCTCCAAACCTTCATCCTGCGTCATGGACTGCGATTCAGAAGCGCTTCTTGTGATTGAGTGAAGGCCAAGCAAACCCTTATCGTATTTCTCCGACATTCTCGTCGCTACGCTTATCGCCTTACACTGTTTATTTCCTTTGTTTACCCAGTCATCCGTTTTTTTACTTACACGAATTCACTAACCTGGATGACGACACCGCAATTGCCCGCGTGAAGGATAGGTGGCATTATTCAAGCTCGTTTCTTAGAAATCGGGCCACCACTGGACCTGCTGTTTTCTGTTTGAACTCTTCTTCACAATCTCAGCTTTAGATCTGTTGCGCTTTTGAGAGATATACATCATGTTTTACCAAGGCTCCTTGCAGGAAGGCATCTCCACTGCCGTCGACCAACAGAAGCTCGTTATCTGCTTCGTCACAGGTTTGTGCAACGAAGAATGCCCACGCGCCGCTCCGGACACTGCTGACATGATTAGATGAAAATGATGAGAGTCAAAGCTGGGAGACGGATTTTCTCGCAGACCAATCAGTAAGCATCTCCTCACGACACTCTTGTGAGAAACCCCCCCTCGTGCTAATATATGTGGGTGCTCAGGTAGAAGATCTGCTCCGCAACCAAGCAGTCGCGCTCCGGCTCAAGGCTGGGTCCGAAGAAGCCGGATACTTGGCACAAATCTTCCCACTGCCAAAAACCCCGACCGTGGTGATTATCAAGAACGGCGAGCTCAAAGAGTACATCACCCCCGGTGTCACGAAGGGAGACTTCATCCGTCGAGTGCAGGGCGCATTCAATGCTGCGCCGCCCGCTACCTCTCAGCCCAGTACCCACCAGACCGCTTCCTCAACAACCGCTACCAGAGAGGGCTCCGAGCCATCCTCTACGAGTCCCAGCCAGGCGGCACAGCAATCCGACAATGTGCGACGTGTCCTGGCCTCGCGCGCGAAAGCAAAGGCGCAACAAGAAGAGGCGGAACGCAAATTAAAGGAGGAAAAAGCCAGTGCGAACGAGGCGGCGCAACAGATATCCGAAACTTCCGACGCAGCAAGAGTTCGATCACAGGCCGAGCTAGTGAAGAAGAAGCGAAGGCATGACGACGAAGAACGGCAAAGAATCCTCAAGCGCATCGAGGATGATAAGGCAGAGCGACGGCAACATGCTGCTGAGCGAGAGAAGCGAAAACTGGATATCCAAAAGTCGGAAGAAGCTGAGAGCAAGCTACCGGTCAAGAAGACTCCCAGCAATAAGACATCACTTCAGGTTCGGCTGTTTGACGGTTCCACAATTCGGTCACGATTCGACACATCGTCAAACTTGAAGGACGTGCGGAAATGGGTTGATGAAACCAGGAATGATGGAAATCTACCATATACCTTTAAGCAAGTCCTGACTCCACTACCGAACAGAAACATCGACAGCACAGAGGAATCCAAGAACTTAGGGGAGTTGGGCTTGTCCCCATCTTCCACTCTCCTACTGATCCCCGTAACCAAATTCTCCTCAGCGTACAAGGACGAATCCGGAAGCATTGTGTCTGGCAATATCTTTTCACGTTTTCTACGACTCATCCTCGGGTTCTTTACGTGGCTATTCAGCCTATTTGGACTAGGCGGGGATGGCCGGAGAGATCTGCCGGAAGGAGAGGGGGTTGGAGAGTCAGAGGCTACCACAACCGGGGCGCAGTCCCGGGTCCGAGGCTTCCAAAATCCGAACGATCGAAGGCGAGACCTGCCGTTGTACAATGGAAACTCGGTAAGCATTGGAATATCGTCCCATGGCGGTTTCAATATTGCAAGACTAACTGTGTCACAGCTAAATTATGAGTCACGGCCAGATGAGGACGAGAAATGATAGATGTGGATTGCGCCATGAAGCAAGGGATGCCATGCCATGTAATTGTTTTTTTGTATTACAAAATATCAGGAGCAGAGTTGTCTGATCCTCCCGCCAATGTTCTTCAAGCGGTATTGCTCAAGCGCATAATTTTTCCTATACGGGCTTGCTAAAATATCTTTTTTTCTCGTCTTCCATGCTTTATTCCATAATGTACATGATGCTCTGTGTGAAAGTATGAAAAGGGAACCTCAACCGACAGCCATCCTGAACTAGTAGTTCTTGGCGGCAGTCTGGCAAGCCTTCAGTTGCTCGAGGTACCAGTTGCAGATCTGCATGTTGCCATTGTTGTCATCCATGCACTGGGTGAAGGACTGGGCGGCGCCTGAGCAGTTGTTCTGTTGAGCCCACGAGTTCTCCTGCTGTGCGGGGGCGGCCTGGACCTGTTGCTGAGGAGCGGGAGCAGGCTCGGAGGAGCCGCCGCCGCTGAAGAGGCCACCGATGGCGTGGCCGACAGAGGAGCCAATGGCAACACCACTAGAAGAGACAAACATTCCGTTAGCAATGTGTTTTTTGCTGACGATGCTCGACCGAGGCTTAGGTCCCTCGGGAAGGCATCCGGATGCCAGATATAGGCCGGTCCTCGGAGTTATAATCGTAATTCTACTTACGCAGCGGTACTGGCCATCTGTCCGAACAGGCCGGGGCCTTGAGAGACGGGAGCCTGCATAGGAGGAGCCTGGGACTGCATTGGGGGAGCAGCCATGGTGGCGGCAGGCCGTTGCTGCTGGGGAGCGGGAGCGGCAGCGGTAGGGCGCGTGGGAGCGCGGGAGACGGGGGCACGGCCGGCGGATCGGTTGCGAGCCATTCTGACTGATTTATGTGTTTCCGGGTTTGAGGAAGAGGAGAGCGAAGCGTGTTGAGTCGAGGAATCGGCGGTTGATGAGAAGGTCGTTGGGAGGCGGAGTTTGACGGTTTTCTGCTGGAAGAAAGCCGAAGCTGCTAGAGGTCGGAGACTCGGAATTTCGATGTTGGGGTGGCCAATGGGAAAGCAGAGATTTGCATGCTGTCAGCTACCGCCCCGTTTGATGCATCGATTGGCTCACGAATGCATCTGGGAGCCTGCGGCTAGCTTTGTACCTCGTTGCTGGTATTTACCGCAAATCAGTACTTGACCCGCGATCCAGGCACTCTGCTCCCTGTGACCTGTCTACGAATTATGATGGGCCTAGGCGAGCCCCATGACTCCCGTGACTCTTCACTCAGGTGGGTAGTTTGAAGATTAAATGATTCTTGTTTTCCATGTCCAATCTATTGAAAGTGGTATTACGCAAAATTATTTCCTAACTCCGGGGCCATAAGCCTCCCGTGCCTAAACGCCAGTGTTGTTGTTCCGTGGGCTGCATGAATCGACAATGCCCGATGCCCAGCAAATGCAATGATGCAGTGTACAAGTGCAGGGTGTGAATGAAACACCCGATGGTCGTCATTCAGAATAAAATACGATGCATCAGTGTGGAATCCACTAATGCTTCTTGCCCCTGTGTTTGTGCTTCTGCTTCTTTTGCTTACCGCCCTTGGAACCATCTGCAGCGGATGATGCAGATGGACCAGGTGAATCCTCAGCAGGCCGCTTCTTATTAGCTGCTTTCGAAGCTTCCATTGACTTGAGCAGCGCCTTGGCTCTCTCCTCAGCAATCTTCTCTGCCAGCTTACTGCTTAGAGTCTTGCTATTGCTGCCCTGTTTGTTTGTCAGTGTGCAAATTCGAGAGAGAGAGAGAGAACAGTCAAGTTCGTGCATACCAGGTCTGCCTTCAGGATACGTGCTGCAGCTTCCTGGTTTACGGTTGTCTTCCGCTCTTCCTGGGGCGCCTCTGCAGCCTTGATCTTTGCAAATTTCTGTTGGATTCTCTTGAGCTCTGTGAAAACAGCATGCTCTTTGGCATTAACATTCTGCAGCTTTAGTGACGCTGATGTTCAACGCATTAGTAAATGAAGGGATCGGGGCAGTGGGCAGCGGGTAATGGCGTATAGGCATACAGAAAAGCAATGTCTCGATAGTATATGCTGTGAGTGAGAACAGTTTCGCCTTGTCCATAAGAGGGAGTTGGGAAGGCTTCTCAAGCGTACGTAGAAGAGGCTGCAGCGCATCTTCAATGCCGTCAATCTGCGCGTCCAGCCTGTCAAGGTCTGGCTGCAGGCTCTTCACGTCCGACATCGTCAGACCTTTCTCTGTATCTGAGAAAATCTCGAGTATTCGTACCGTGCGGATGTTAGGTTCTCCGACGGTTGTCCTTCCTCCAGATGTTTGATGATGTTTTCGTTGTCGATGAGCATCCAGTGAAAAATTCATGTATCGAGGCGCTAAGTGCCGACTCTTTTTTGTGGGGCCGACGAAAAGTGCGGTCCCTGGTGGGAGATTGATTTTCAGCTAAAGCGATAATCTACCGCTCAACCCGGTCGGACGGGACAAAGTGCATGCGACACCACTGGACGAACAATTCTATGATTTCACTCAATCGCCACTCCTCGGTCCTCACGTAAACACCGATTTCGATTTGCATACACCACTTCTTTCACCGCAATGGTGTGCTGACGACTCGCTCTCTCTACGACGGCCCCTACTCACCTGTCCCGTCGATCGGAAACACCCTCGAACCAAACTACACAACCGCCAAACTGGCGAGACTCACGACCTCGCGGTTGTCCGCGCACATCTCCCGCCAACCGCTGCGATGCATCCGGGCTAGCCCTGCAGCAGGCTGGGGGTCGTGCAGACAATACGGCACCGTGGCCTCAGGTGAATCAGAGAGGCAGACAGCCTCAGCCGCCCTGCCAGAAGCAGGACCGGCCACCCGCTCTCCCTGGGCGGCAGCTCTGGATACACCGACCCGACGGCCGCAACCGTCTCCTAAATTCTACGTTCCCTCCGTTCTGTTACCGGCCGAGGCCTCGAAATCTCCGTCGGTCCACAAGATCCATATTCTAGGTGAAGACGAGCGATCAAAATTTATAGCACACGCTCTATCGGGTGTGTACGAATCGGTGGAACTTCTGGGCTGGAAAAGAACACCCTCACGTTACACGAATATTCAGAAAACATTGAGAGGAAATCGTCGCGAAACGTCGAAGGTCGAACGGAACCCCATCCAACTTCAGAAAACCGACGAGGAGGACAATTCACCCATCGACCACCTTGTGATCAGCTCCAAGGCGTTTGGTGCCGAGTCGAGCCTCGATCAATACAAGCACCGCCTCCGTGAAGACGCCACCGTGTGTGTGATGACCGAGGGGCTCGGGGTGCTGGATGATGTGCGGACCAAGATCTTCAACGGAACCTATCAAATGCCCAATATTCTACTTGGGCACATGAGCCACAGGCTTGCGTTCAACCGAAGTTATAATTCCGTAAAGCAGCTTAAAGGCGGCCAGCTTCTCATGACCCCGCTGCCAACGACAACAGTCTCTCACAGCTCTATAGAGCGCAAGACAGAGAACCGTACCAACTTCGTGGAGAGCTTTGGCAGGGCCAGGGAGCTGCGAGGCTCCATGACGGAATACGATTCATGGCTCCGCTTCAAACTTCCAAGCGTTATCTTCGCTGCTGTTGCTGATCCAGTCTGTGTTCTGCTCGATCTACCATACCACGGACTCTTGCAGAACCCTCCGGCCCAGCGCATGATGCAGCGGCTTTTGGACGAGATCACCTTAACGCTAGAAATGCTACCCGAACTTGAGTCCTCAACGGTAGTACAGGACTATGTTAGAGGAAACCTGATCAAACGCCAGCTGTACAAGAACATTATGGCGAAGAGGGACGCTCAGAGTTCACTCCTCTACCAGGTGCAGCACGGGCACCAGACCGACATCAACTATCTGAACGGCTATTTCCTCAATAGAGCAAAGCGTCTCGGGCTGGACCTCAGGACGAACAAATTAATGACAGACATGGTCAAGGCAAAAACCCTCCAAACGCGGCAGCGCATCAACACCGACGTCCGCATTGAGGAAACGTCGCTGTCGCCGCAGCATCAAGGCAGCAGCTACAGGCATTACTATAGCACGTGAGCAGCTGATTAACGGCTTGATATCAGTCAATGTATGTATTATTGTCCCGGTTTTTGGGTAGCATTGTATAGCGGGCGTCCTAGGTCACCATAGAAATAAAATAAAATAAGCAATGATATATCAAACCCCAAATTCCCTTGGTCCAGATCTAAAACTCGTCTTCATGTGAACTGAATATCATTTTAAATGCACAAAGCTCGTTGCCAACTCTTATTTTACTGTGGCAGGCTGAGCTCGTGCCATTTTCAGATCCCTGGCGGCAGGCACCACTTTGGAACTTTCCCCCCATGAATCTGGTCATGTGATGTCACGATATGCCCCTCCAAACCTGCTTCGACCCCGCGATGAACCTGAACACAACACAAGCTAAGACAGAAAAATGGCGGACTCAGACTTGGAACAGGTAAAGAAGACTTTCCCATTGTTCTATTTCTTTACTGATATCGTTCCCAGATCAGAAAAGCTCGTCTAGAGCAGCTCAAAGCTCAGCAGGGAGCCGGTGGTGGTGGCAGTAGTGGGGGGCGATCTGCTGGCGGCAACGGCGACGAAGAAAACTCGAGAAAGTACGTCGGCTTCACAAACACACCTCCCATCCTAACCCTAGATACCATAGGCTAACCGTCAGTCGTCCTACAGGCAAGAAGAAGCCCGTCAACACATCCTCAACCAGATCCTGCACCCCGAGGCAGCCGACCGGCTCGGCCGAATCCGACTCGTCAAGGAGTCGCGCGCGACCGACGTGGAGAACCGGCTGATCATGCTGGCACAGTCTGGCCAGCTGCGACAGAAGGTCACGGAGGAGCAGCTGAAGGACCTCCTCAACGCCGTGGCGGACAAGAAGGAGGAGGAGAAGATCGTCGTGAGCAGGCGCAAGGGCTGGGACGACGATGACGACGACCTGCTGGATTTATAAGCGCTTTTTTGATCATGCTCGCAGAAACCCCCAAGTCTGAAAAATTGAAATACCCCGGGGGGCCTGTGATATACTCGTTGGCCGAGCAGGTGGGAGAAAAGGTGGTTGGTCTAGGCCCGTGATTTGTATGAATGCGATATGCTTTATCCATGGATTATGACGATATGATCTAGTAATACAAGCTCACGCTGCTGTGGTGTTTTGTTACAAATTGCACACATGAAATGTCCGGACATCTGGGTTAAATGTGCTCCCAAGTATAGCGGTCATTATCTCAAATGGCGCGCGACTTCTTCAACTCCTCCAGCCGCTTTTTCTCTGCTCGCGCTCTCTTCCTGAGTTGTCTCATGTCCGGAGGACGCTCGATGCCCAACTCCTCCCTGACTTGGTCCACGTCCCTCTCCAGCTGCTCCTCCCAATACACGTTTATGACCTCCTTGCTCCGCACGCCGTTCTTGACCGCCCAGGGGAAGTACGTGCTCCAGAAACGCTTCCTCTCGGCGGGCTTCATGGTGGCGACGGCGAACATGCTCAGCCCCGTCATGGGGAGGAGGGTGTTTGCAAACTCGAAGGTCTTGAGGGCGACCTCGCCTTCACGCACGATGGGCAGGTTGGTAATGGCATGGTAGAAGTCGTGGCACTCGCGGTACCGCTGCATGACGTAGGCGCACTCCTCGTCGTCGATGTAGCGGACCTGGGCGCGGGTGTCGGAGGAGACGCCCTCGCGCTCGAGCCAGCCGAGGTAGGCTCTCCCAACGGAGTTTTCGGGGAGGGAGCGGAGGTATTCGGGAGAGAGGGTGGTCGAGTTGATTCGAGGGCGGTCCTTGAGGATCCGGCGGCCGGTAGGGTCTGCGAGCATGGCATCACGCAGGCGGTAGATGAAGTACGGCGTGGCGGTCGCCTCGCCCAGGGCGGCGATCAAGTCTAGTCGGGTCAATTAGCCAATTGGGCGTAGAACGAGCGGCTTGGGAGGGTGCGTGCCATGGCGGTATGGGTCGAAGAAGCACCAGAGCGCAGTGCTCACGGCCATACCTGCCCGCTCAACTCTTGTGAGCGGAACATGACCGGGATAATTGGGCGGCGGACGGTTGAGGACGGAGAAGGGTCGGGCGGAGGGCGTGGTGCACACAGCGCATGTCCTCACCAAGGAGCGCGAAACCGCTTGTGCTTTCCACAGTGGGCGGAGCTTCAATGCGGCCACCTCCATGAATACAACGGCTCTCCTGCAATTGAGAAATACAGAAGTCGGAATCTAGGTGAAGTCGTACGGTTCCGACCTATGCCTGGATGGCTTCAAATTAAGTGGGCCTCAATGCTCCGAAATCGAATGACATCGTCAATCCCAACACCGTCCCTGGTATTTCACCTACCCTGGAGCATCAACTCTGAAGCAAAGGATCTAGCGAATTCCTTGTCAGGAAAAATATCCTGTTGCTATCTTTATTAAAATGTTTATAATCTAAAATCTCTAAGGTATTTGGTTTCTTTTTCGATAAATTTCATTCGATCACAGAGATATAGTCGTGTGGTAGGGATGTTTCCGGGGTTTCGGAGCATCTGTTGGCGGCTTCATGCGAGCACGAAAATCATACTCCAATCATGCTCCAGCAAAGACAACAAAGGCTGATGATAGCATCATGTTGAGCAAATGCTTTATTATGATACAGGTCTCGAATTTTCTGTATATTTGCGTGTTGTTTCTCATCACGTGATTTTTATCCGTGTAAATTGGTGAAATCAAATCCACTGGTACAGGGTACGATCGCTCACAGGTCTTTTCACTCCTCCAGATAATCGGCAGAAGATGTCGCTCACGTCGAAATACCTTGCTGTATACAATGCAGCCTCGTTCTCGCTATGGGCGTACTTGGTGTTCCTCAGCTTGAAACTGGGACCATCGCTATATGCGCAAAATCGTCTGTATGACCTCTACGATGCGCTTCTATATCCCTTCCTCACGGGGACTCAATCACTGGCGGCCATAGAGGTCGTACATGCTGCTGTAGGCCTCGTCAGGGCCTCACCTGTGACAACTGCCATCCAAGTAATCGGCAAGAATCTGGTGGTTTGGACGGTCATGGTTCAATTCCCTGAAATTATTGTCGGTCTGGCGAACCAGGACTCAGTGGGGATATGGGGATTTCTTGGATGCGTGGTATTTTGGAGTTTGTCCGAGATCATTAGATACGGCTACTTCACGGTGCTGTTGCTTACGGGAGATGCTCCGTCTTGGCTCAAGTGGCTTAGGTATGACACTCTCCCATAGGCCCTAGGCCGGGTTTTGTTTCCGAGGCTTATGCTCATCAAACTCGCAGATACAGCGCGTTTATCCTATTGTACCCCCCTGGGCTGTTCAGTGAGGCATGTCTTGTATTTCTTAGCCTCTCTAGGGCCGAAAATGTGAGCTTGCCATACCGAGTGTATTTGACTGCTGGGTTTCTGAGCTACATTCCTGGTAAGTTGCTTTTGGTGGTGGAGATTTTCAAGTGCTAATATTAGTAAATAGCGAGCTACATTATGTACACATACATGTTATCACAGCGCCGCAAAGTACTCAGAAGCCCTTGAAACGCGGCTGGAATCTAGGCTTCCCAGAGATGAAAGGATTGCCACAGGAGACAAAAAGGGCAACAGTGCTGCGATCAGTGCATATATGTGTTGGGGCGTCGTATCTAAATCCCAAAAGTATTTAGTCATAACTCATAAATCAACAAAAGTACGAATGACACACAACTGTGATGCTAGAAACACAAAGGTGGCTCTGATGGCCTACCACTTATCTTCGGTATGCCTCTTTCGGGCTATACGTAACATTTGCAAAGAGACGAGGGCCATCAGTATGCTCCCTCTCCGGTCTACGCAATAGGTCACACCTCTTCGTATCGTTGATCCTAGTAATTCAATACTGTAACATGAAGAAGCCTTGACATTGACTGCCAAGCCCCCGGACGCTCAAGTTGACGCAGTGTTGAACTTTACGTCTTAGCTTGGGCAATTCGCAGCGTAACGCTAAGGTCGGTTAAGCCCTTCCAAATCACACCTCGGGGAGGGATTAGCTTCCATTACATGGGATATGAGACAACCGGTGTACAACAAGGTAGGAATAGCTGCAGGTTCGAAGGGTCGACGTGTCGACCTTGTGACGAGATAGCGACATTAGCTGCTTTGTCATGGCTAGGTAGGTCGGCCAAAATGAAGGCCCCTTTAATCCACCGAAGGTAGTAGTATTGTATGATGCCCAATAAGAAGCATTGTGAACCCAGCATCACGCGCTTCAAGATGGAACGTCTGCGAGGAGTCGGCACTTTTTCAGCCGCATGCATCATTTTGTTGGACACCACGTCAATCTCACAGCCCCCGCCACCCTTTGTCCCACCGGAGCGCTTGGAATCCCCGGGATCTGATTTGTACAAGGACGGAGTTAACAAGGGCGGCCAGGGATCCTTGAGAAATGATACCCCCGCGTCTGCTGCGTCTAGTCCGTGTTGGTTCGGTTGTAGGGATGGAAGCGCCGTGCTGCCCAACCTGATGGCTAGCTGCGTTCGCCTCACTCCCACCTTAACAGAGTTGGGTTTAGGCCCAACTGCCTAAACAGATCATTTCAACACGGCGAAGGTTTGCGTGTCATGCATGAGGCGCCAATGGTCCGAAATAGCGTGCTAACAGGGCGCCCGGATGTTCCCCGAGCTCCGTTGGCTGCTACCATGCCGCTCGAAAGCGTCCAGGCCTGCAGATTCCACATGTGACACTGGATGGCCTTGTGCATCTTTAGCTGGCACCCTGCATGATCTCCCCCTTGATTGAGGTCATATGGATGGCTTGAAAAAGAAAACCCTGTCAGAGCCGCTTTGCCATGACACATGGCCATCGAACTAAGGCAAGCTGCAAATGCGGCTCAACAAACAATCCATGTCTCCCTACTATGGTGTGACAAGTTGAAGACAAGGAGAATTCAGTCGTAGCATGCTGTATATATAAAGATCGATGGGCATCGTATGCCAACTTGATTTCCCGGAATAGCTAAAGAATCATTCCAATATACTTCATCATCAAATTATCCCATATCTGACAATTTGTCTACACCAGCAGTAAGCATGTCACCGCCAAAGGGAAAGTCGTCTCAATCCGAAAAGGCCATGGCCGAGCGGTCCGGACAGCCTGGACTAGGCCACTACAAAATCCTGGCGGAGCAATTCTACGAAGCCGTGTTGCTGCTCAAAGCTCTGAGTGGCCTTCGTGACGGCTTTGAGGGATTCCCTGGGAGCCAAAACCAAAGCAAAGAACGTCTCCGGAACTTCTTGCGAGGTCTAGCATACTTTTGCGACTCCAAGAAGGGGGGCGACACATACACGGGTATTGGCCTCGAGGAGACCGAGACTCAATACATATTCTGGGTCACCTCAAACAAGTATCGACCTGAGTTGGCAGACTTCCTCAGGGACTTGTTGAACCGCCTGAAAGAGTTGAAAGAGTTGAAAGATGCTCCAGAGGCCACGAAGGAGCTCCTCAGACGCAACTTGCAAGAATTCTGTTTCACGAAATCAGCTAAGCGGATCAGCATGTATCAAACACATTTGATCAAATCCGTTAATGATGCCCAAAATATCCTGGATCAACCGAGGACACAACATGGTGAGTACTTGCCAATCGGGCCAAGGATTGGAATCTTCGATTGCTGACAAGATATCTAGATCAAGAATTGTCCTCATGGATATCCGGGCTCATCAATAATGATGGCATAGACAATGTAGAGCTTTGTGATTCTATGTTCACTGCATCAAAGGAAAACCGCATGCTGAGGCTTCTCCGCTCAAGAGCAAAGTTCGAGAGAAGCTTGCAAAGCAGTCGAGGTGAAAGAAATGCCTTTGACGAAATCAGGCATTACATTGGCCGTTTGGCCTCTCATACTCGAACGCATAATCAGCTATGTGATGATGTGGAAGACCCGCTGATAGGGGAGATAATCCGCGAACCACTCGTTCGACAGATTGAGCCTCTCGATCAGACAGCAGAACCTACATATGATATACACACAAAGCTGAAGGGGCTTCTCGCTGGGATAAAAGATGGCGCTGAGAGACAACAAGTCAAATCTCGGCTGGATGACTTGAACAGACAGTGTGAAATTTGGGAGGTCATTTCCAACCAATACAGTAATTTCAAGCCCAGGGCACACGCAGAGGTTCAGATCCTTGAGCATTTCTATAGAAATAAGCTCAAGTTTGCCATCCACGACAAGTACGTTGGCGGCAGTAAGCCTTCTTGCGAATGCTGTTATCTATACTTCAAACACCACCCTGCCCGAATGGTACTTCCGAAGTCATCACACAAGGTCTTTCTCAACTGGAGCCTGCCGCCAGTCGCCAACCCTCAAAGTGGAGATGAGTTCGTACAGCAACGGAGAACCTTGAGCAAGATGGTAAACGACCTTGTTAATAATGCCATTTCTCAAATACTGGACTGCAGCACCGCTCCTTGTTTGCGCCCCGATTCTTTGACCGATCTGTCCAGCACCATTGCGTCCTTCCGGCTGATGGAACCAGATGGTGTGTAACTGGACCATCTTGACTCGGGCGGTGCTAATTCGCCATTTCAGAAAAGTCTTCTTCAAGCGAGAAAGGTTTCTTAGGTTATAGGCACAGGGGATGGGATTTCCATGGCGAAGCTTCCAGCGTGGCAAGTGATTATGAAGACAGCTCAGACACGGAAAATGAGGGAGCCTTCATCTAGGCAAGCGGCATTGATGAACAATAGTTGGTTTAGTTTGCGTACGTAGTTTTGTTAGCTCGCTTTATTGACATATTTGAAAAGACGGCAACGAGTTTTCTGACAGTGAAGGCTTTTTGTGAATTACAGTACTTAATACTAATAATAAGGGCTCTTTCTCCAGTGCCCCTCATTCAATATCACGGAGCATGGTTGGAGACATGGATACTTTGCAGAAACAAGAATGGGCAACAAATTAGATTAATCCCTTTTACAATAGCTAGCAAGAGTCAAACATGACAGGAGAAGGAAAGCTGAAGCGAGCAATCTGATCACACATCAGTATTTACCATACCAGTGCCGATACGGCAGCTGCATTGATGCCAGTTGTGAATGCGGATGGCCCTGGAAAATTGTTGACTTGTGGCTAGAATTACTCCCCACTACCAACCAACAACGTCATTCAGAACCAGTTGATTTGGATGCACGTGCATCATCAAGATAGACTCAGCAGCTGAACTGAACACGTTTTGCATCTACATCATGATATTAAGTCAGATGCGGCCATAGTAAGTGAAACCAAACAAGACATTTCATTCTCACAGCCCGTAACAGTTTGCCCTTTGGGAAACTGGGGTACTATGGATCAGAAACTGTCTCGGACGCTGAACAATTAGAATATGATTGGCCTTCTAATTCGGCCGTGCATGTTGGAGGGATAAATATCGCATAGCATCTCCCCCTGGATATGGGGTACCTGTGGTATGGATCCTTGAAGTCAATTTGAAGAGCACTAGGCAAAGCAGAAGAATAAAGCTCAGGTCTGGAATTCGGGTGCCTGTTGGCTCTTCCGCGGATTCCTCTCTAAAATTTTCCTCCACTACAGATCGATCTTGTGAATGCCTCTGCAACCACACCTCGTTCAACTTATTTCGAGATAGGAATCTAATAAGAGGCGTGGATGCCAGGGGGAACGCATGTGGATATCGACATCTCCGTGGAGCGGATGCGCATTCAGCATGCCGCTGCCGTTGTCTTCTGAGTTACGTAACTTCAGCCGCATCCGTGGGAAGTGAGACAAAGATCTACCAGTGGTGGAGAGGACAAAGGATGTGAATTCTGTAAAGCTATGGAATTACATTCCAGTTTGGCAGGAAGGGTCAAAATGGTCCGATCCCTTTAACCCGATGGATAGCGGTTGATGGATCTTTCTCAGCGGAAGGCAAGTCTGGGGTCCAGTAATCGAGGGGGAAAAGCAATATTTGATTTGAGATCTTCGGCACGAGTAAGGCGTCTAATGACGACCTGTCTCGGTTGAAGGCAGTCTCAAATGAGGATGAGACAAACTTCGACGGCTTAGGAATGGCCCTAAGCTGACAACGCATTGAGGAGCACACTACCCGGAACAGACGTTATTTGTGGAGGTACTGGCATTCCAGTGGCTGGACTTCAGCTTCAGTGGTCTTATGAATTGACGTGACCCGTTACTAAGATGGTGAGTTGTTGCCTTTTAGCAGGCAGGCATGAGCATCATAACTGCATCCAGCTCACTCATAACGCCGGGAGGCATCATGTAGAACTTTGACTTTACTAATGTCTCATATTTTCAATAGCTCTCCTCTATTTCTGGCATGATTTCCATTTTTTAGCCTTTCCTCTACGGGAGCCTCGCTCACATCAAGCCATTCGTACCTACTTCCCCCCTCTCGTCTGCTCACTTTGCTTTTTGTTGGAAGGAAAGCTTCCAGGCAACATGCTCCATGCTTCAATCATGAGTTTTCTGACCATTTCTTAATGAGTGACTTCTTTTGAATTTCTCAAGTCGACAATCGTCTAGGATTTGTCTGTGTTTGAGCACCTGGGTTGATTCAGCCTGGACATTCTCTGCTCCGCCTCAATAGTTTCACATCGCTACATTTTCTCTTTCCCACAATGAACAGCCATCCCGCCTCTTCATTACCAGCCAGGCTGGTCCCGGCATTGCGCAGCAGGCAGCATAGATATCTTGCAACAACTGCAAGATGGCTTGGATACCCTCAACCCGCAACTCAGCCTGGAGCTCTCCCTCCACCACCTCTCCATCTGCTTACACCTCACATGGTACCGCCACATCTCAAGCACCAGGTCAATCCTCGATTATCTCCTCATATCTCTGGGCACCCAGCGCCACCTCCTGCAGCCCCAAAGCCCCTTATCACCGAGGAGAACGTGTGCCCGCCCAGTCTCAGCAGTCGATGGTTATCAGACTTGAGAGCACAGGCCCAGATACGGATATCCACTGAAGGCCAGGGACCGACAGTCAACAGTGCTAGACGGGTTTTGAGTCATCTCCACGAGAATTGGCTGGATCTTCTTGCTGGATCAGAAGGATACTTGGTTGGCCCCCGCTGGACTGGTTTGGCTAATCAACAAATCTCATGGGGTGATATGGTAAGTTGCGCATCCCCGCATATCAAAGAATAACTTCTCTGACCTTCGTCTTCGAAACAATAGGATAGCATGGTTAGTTGAATCAGTTCAACATCGAAATAACTGACGTGCGCTGACTATGGAACTTGTATAGGGCCATGTCAACAATGTGATGTACAACCGCTTTGCCGAGTCCTCGCGTCTTAACTACCTACGAGGTTTTGCTCTAGCTTCAGATGAAGAACACAAGCAATTCTGGCTCGAGCTAATTACCCCACGGAGCATCGGTTGGATCCTAAAGAGTATTCGTACTGAATACAAATGTGTGAGTCTCCTCAACGATAGCTATTACTATTGCTTTGCAATATCTTTTATCAACCAAACACTTACGCTGCCGCAGCCTCTTTTCTATCCTGATAATATTACGGTCCTCCATAGGCTGGTAAACCGCCCTGACAAAGATACAGAGAAAATTCTCATGGAGGCTGTGATCATCTCCAATGAGAAGCAGCGTGTGGCAGCGCGCTGTTACGAGGAGCTAGTGGTCTACGACTACCGTCTTGGCCAGCGGACCAACCTGAGACCTTTCATGGTCGAGGCTCTCCAGGAAACATATGACCTGCAGGAGAAAAATCGGGGGAAAACAACAACCCATGTTCTGAAGCTTCAGGAAAGCATCAGCCCCCCTAGTAGCTAATGAAAATAAAATCAGATGGAAGCCGAGTTACGGTATCTCAACCGCATGACACAATATTATGGCAGGATCAAATAATACCAGGAAAGCAAGCATCTATCGGGCGTTTCAAGTACTAGGGATACCAGGATTAAATTTGTCCCAATTCTAATATCTATCTCTTCCAAAATTTCTATCTTATATCGCCCAACCAAATCGGCCATCAAGTGACTTTAATCATACATTTCCCCCCTCCTCAGCCCATAACAGTGATGCTCCATCACTGCTACATTCCAGACTCAAGGCACCATTGGTATATCCGATCAGCCACCCGGCGTGGAATGCAACGGACCTACCTTTCCTAGCGCCGGATAGGGGTCGGCCCTTAGAAGCCATACCTCAGCACAGATCTCATACACGGGGACTAAATCAAGGATAGGGTTTGGCAAGCTAGAGCTAAGACACATAGGTGATGTGTGACAAGTCAAACTAGCTGGGTCCGAGAAAAGATCTTCATGAAGAGCCTTTGTCACCGTGACGTGCTGAATGTACGCCGATGGCATCTTGCTTAAGTAGGAGTACTCGATTGCATGTGATTTACAAATAAAGAATCATTAATGTTACTTAGCCGTCTTATTCAACATGGAAAAGCTTTGAAATCTCAAATTTCAGTGAATCTCACAAGGGATTCTGTGCCGATGCTTACAATAAATATCGCGGTTCAGTGCGCCGGGCAAAGCCATAGGTTTTTAGCGGTATAAAAAAGTTGAAAATATCAATTTGCGGAATGAATTTTTTTCTCTTCTCTTAAAAAACAGATAGCTCTCATCACATAATGCGTCAGTTATTATTTCAAGGTTGTATTCTCTTTCAGGGAGTGGGTGCTGCATGAAAGCAGAAAGTCGTATCTTTCTGTCTAGATAGAAGGTTTGAAAAAAAAAAAAGAAAACTCAAAACAGCAGATAGCAGTTTTACTTGAAGACCTGAGTTGGATATTAGAACCTGTAAGAGAGATGTACCAGGGCATTGCTATCCTTTTAGTTGAAGTATTACGCGGATCGATATGAATTAAAGACTCCTTATTGAAAGCTATTATTAAGAACCTATAAGATGCATGGATTTAATTATATACCAATAAATAGACATTAAGATACATCACTCGGGGTAGATTTAGATGATGCCATAGGTTAGGTTGAACCAGCCATAGAAAGAGTACTATAGACCAATACGAAGTATAATTCGGCGGCTATTGGCCGATGCTTGTTTATTCGCTTTCTACTTCAGTCATGATAGGCACCACCCCTCGACGCTTTCTTAATTCATGTTTATTTATCACAGAAGGCCTTTCCTTGTGCTCACCTCTCTAATCCAGCTGATCAGGTCCAAATTCTTGCTGCTAGCTCTGGTTGTCCTACACGGAACCTTATTGGCTTTCAAATAACCGTCTTGTTTGTACTACTAGATCCGTCAATCTCTGCATCGCATTAATTGATTACATTCTGGCCTATATTCCCAATGCAATTCTGCGGCTGAACGGGAGTGAAAGGCTTAATAGCTTGTAGTGTCCTGCACCTGGATAGCTGTACATAGAGACTAGTAAAGTCGCATTTGGAAGGCTAACCATTGGAATACGATTTCCTCGCAGCTCTAAGAGTACTTCCAAAAACGTCTTGCCTTGTTTCTCGTTCCTCATTAGAGCTCTAACTCCTGCAAGTAAGTAGACGCCAGCCACGCCCATAACTGGGTAAGGATGCGAGCGTATTTACACCAACGCCTACTTTAAGACCGCTCGGATATGATTTATTCACATTAGTCAATCATGAGGACTGTAAATTACTGTATAGATTTAGATTTCTTTAATGTATTCTTGTAAACGCTCTGCCATCCAGTCCTGCGCCATCCATCGTGAGTTGGTCAACATGTTTCCCTACAAACTTCCTCCCCGTTTTTGAGACCCCATCAGTTCCCGAAACTCACAGGATGTTTCCAAGCTTCGTACGCCACCCATGCCTGGAATACCCCGACAACCAGCCCGAGAATTCCCAGAACAATTGCTATAATAACGCCAACGAGCGTGGCCATCATCATATAGCGAGCAGAGCTTTTGCGCTGGAACCATTTCTCCAGGATACCGCGCGGGCTGGGATCCTCTAGCTCCTTGAATAAGTCCACGAGTCTCCCGCCGAAATAGTTGTACGATGTATCCTCTTCGCCTTCCCTTCGATAGATGGCCGAGTCATATCGCAGGCAATCGGGGTCGAAGGATTCCTTGGAAACCAATTTGCAGAGAATCTGCTCCGAGTCTGAGTCAAAGGGGAAGAGGATCTTTTGCAATGAATCCAGGGCATCGAGGGCAATCTGTCTAGGGATATTTCCTCTAAGAGTTAGGCGGATTAGTGCCTGCTTTTTAAGGGTTACAGTTCTCATCAAAAGTCGTCTTACGCTGAAATAGAGTCCTCAAAGACTAGGGGGCTGTGCAACTCTTGCGATGCCGTCAAATGCTCCCTCAAGACGCTTGTGTAATGGTAAATTTCCACAACCCCCTTTTTGACGTCCATCCTCAGATGGTTTCGCAGATCATCAGTCCCTTGAAACCTCAGCCCTGCAACTTTCTTTAGACGTTTGGCTGACAAGGCGGATTTTATATCTCTGATCTCGCCCGAGCCATCGTAAACATGGAGATTGCCTGTGTCCTTTTGCGGAAACGCTCTTGATATGAACTCAGCTAGTGACTCATCGTAATGCCACTGGATTGGCTGGGTTCCAAGTTCTAACAGGCCGGAGGGTTGGTTTTCGGCTGAACACTTGACCATCGACATGACTTGTACGGCAAGATTGAATGCCCAATGCTGATCGCTGGACGGAGGTGGTTTATCCCGCTTGGAGAAATGTTCGTGCGTCAATTCTAAGCGCTTCATATCGGGATGGGCCTGGAGCAGCCTAATGATCTCGAAAACGTCCTCATGGTTGCGCAACGCCGGGGTGCTGGCAGGCAGCAGATCTGGGACATAGGACGACGTGACATATTTGTAGAAGTCAAAGAAGCGTTCTAACCGAGCCGAGCGCCTCCATGAGCATCTCGAGTCTGTACACACCTCGCCATTCTGACACGCTTCGCAGATGTTCCAGTTCCAGAGTGTTTGGGTGAGCTGTTGTAGCTCGGCGGCAGTGATGCTCTTGAGCGGGTAGGGAGATGCCAGAGAGCCGATCATCCTTGGAGTTTGGATGTGATGGGTAATCCTCAAACTAAAGGGCACTCAATATAGGCAGATAAGCACATTTATGCATATTATTTGGGTGCCGGGAAAGCCCACCTTGGCAATGCCGCCATCAGGTGAATATACGGCTTTCCCATGGGCTGAGCTGACGGGATTGTGGCTTAGAAGTTGCATATTGGAGCCCAACCAACCATTTGATCCCATATGTGAGGGGTTTGGAGCCCGCTGCTAAGCCCGGCTTGAATAAAACGTCACCATTTCTCTTCCTCGCCTATGAGACCTCCTCTTAATGCTTACAGGCCTCTTTTTTCTTTTCCTTTTCTTCTTCAACGCCTCTCCCTGCCATGTCCAGCTGGTGATACCCCAGCAGGTGTAGCAATGAATATCGCCCCCGCATCCGCCCAACCGTCAATGATCCACGACCGACAAGATTCAGGATACAGCACCGAATTCCCATCGCCTGACGGCAAACCAGTCGAGTCCACACAAATTGGGCGCCTCAGCGCCAACGGGAAGAGCCGTTCCGTCCCGTCTGCCCCCACGCCCATCGCTGGCCTCGCCGAATTTGACAAGAGTGTCGACAATGCCACACTCTCCCGCTTCCGTCATGTGCACTTGCTGCTTGAGAAGCCGCTGCTGGAGTATATCCGCGGCTCGATTCGCAAGAAAAACTGTCCGATTTCCATACGGCTGATGGTCCTGGGACGCTCCGAAGATGATGCGAAGCCGTGCATCGTCGTCTTGTGTCCGGAGCAGCAATCGAAAAAGGTCAGGAAGTTTTTCGACAAGAAATCCGTCAGGACTTTGCGTTTGCCTGAAGACGGTCAGCCCTCGTTCGAGGTTTTCGTCGTCGGCCGAGCGCCAGAGACGAAACAGGCAGACGGAGACATTGACGTCCTCATTCCCATCGTTGGCGGGAGCGAGGGTTATACAAACGAGACATACTGCGGAGCGCCCATAATAATCCGGCAGACTTCCGGTGTCGACAAAAGGTGCACCTTCGGTGGTGTCATAAAGGCTGCTTGGCCGAATGGAGAGGTTAAGCTATACGGGCTAACTGTTGGCCATGTACTTCTGAGCGACTTGGGGGATGATCTGACGCTCAGCACGGAGAGCGACCAGGCCAGGCGTTCCGAGGACTGGGCGTTCGAGTTTTCGGACTCTGATAGCGAGGACGAGTCCGGTGATTCGACTGAAGAGGAGTCGGATGATGAGGCTCAATCATTCTCTGTGATGGATGAACTCCAGTTGGCTTTGGTAGACGCCAGTGCGTCTTGGACGGCCCTCGAGTTGGGCAAGATAGGCTCCATTTCAAAGGACTCACCCCAATATCGACCGGCAGCAACCGACACAAAGTACGGTGAGCCAGAGGCTTACTATGACTGGGCTCTTATCGATATGGTCAGCTACAAGCCGAACCTCATTCGACCGAGGAAGTTGCCATACGGCGAGGTTCAGGAAGACGGAGCCTTCAAGTCTGGGAATCACGAGCTCGTGATGGCCACCTCGCCGTCTACTAGTCATGGCAAGAGACAGTCAGTCGTCCTTGTAAGCGGATCAGAAGGACTGAAGCGGGGATCTCTGTCGGCTCTGCCTTCGAGACTCCTTCTAGGCCCTGGAGAAGAGTTTGTCGACGCACTCATCCTAAACCTTGACAGCGATAAGCGTGTGTAGTCCTTTCCAACTTACTCTATTTTTGGACTCGATCAACTGATATGCGAGCAGAAATTCTCGATGGAGACTCAGGGTCATGGGTGGTCAACGAGAGCACCCTTGAGGTGTATGGCTACGTCGTTGCTGCTGATGCATTTGGCGGAGGCTACATTATTCCACTAGTTGACGCATTCCGCAATATCACAGACACTCTGAGGTGTCAATCTGTCGATCTGGCTACGACAATAGATATGGCAAGTGCCAAACTTGGGCGTATATTCGACATGAACGGCGAACCAGCAGCCATGATAGCCCCCATCTTTTCCGAGAATTCTGCGCTGCAAAGCCCACCTACCGTCTCCTATACCTCTACCCCAGCTACCAATCTCTCCATTGCTTCTAGTATCTCCTGTGCCTCCACCCCAGCTACCAATCTGTCCATGACCTCTAACTACGACGGCCCCCTAACTTTCGTAGGTTATCCCGAAAATCACTTCATGTTTCCTACCTTTGCCCAGGAGAAGCTCTTTGTCCATCCTAAAATCCACCCGGATGACGACCTCGAGCCCCCTCCGAGCCCCAAGACGGGCGGCTCTTACACGGTATCGCCTGCTGGCCACAAGAGCTCCGATGACGGTTCCAACAACATCTCAAGACCTAGAACCCCCGAAGTCATTGAGCGCGCCGAGGATGATACTGCCCTTTCTAGCAGGCCGTCGCGCCATGTCGACTACTTGTCCTATGACTGGAAGGAGGAGGACATCTGGTCCTCCTGGAGATACATTGTTACTCGGCGCGGTGAGTTTGCCAATAGCGGGCGATTGGAAAACGCTTCCTGGAGGACATGGATGAAGGTGAAAAACAACCTAAAGACCGTTTCGCCTGAATCCCTTAATTGGTAAGTACTTGAGTAATCTTGTCTTGAAGGTGATAAACCGCTAATACATCACAGGCTCAAGGATTGCGATATTACTTGGCTGTACGGCCCCCTGAAATCAGCGACCAAGCCCATTCACGATGCCCACACAGAGGTCTCAAGCGACTCATTATCCAAGACGGACCCGCGGGTCGATCTCAACAAGAAGCCGATCCTCAAGAAGAGGAGCATGTCTCAGGTCATGCTTCAGAGGTCAATTTCCAGTACCTCTCTACTAAAGCAAGCTGCAGCGGCTGTCCAGACCCAAGAAGCACGAGGTATGATGCGTCCCAGCAACAACAGGCGCGGAACCCTCGATTACTTCGCCTACCCCTCCCCTTCAAGGGGAATGAATGGGGAAAGCCGCGAACCAGAAACCTCGACAGAGTCTTCTGCAATTACATCACCTAGTGCTGAGCGGAAGCACATTCAATTCAACGAGCAAGTTGAGCAGTATATGGCTGTTGATGTCAAGGCCATGGAGGTGGACTCAGATTGCTACGGTGACGACAGAGATTCAGATGATGATGTTATGGTGAAGCGGGTCGAGACCAAGAAGCAATCCATCCTCAGGACGCGAGTTGCCAAGCCAAAGTCAACGGAGGGCAAGACCATTGCTAAGCTTCCCTCAACGACCCTTAAATACCGCGAGGATACACTTGATCCCAAGGAGACAGCTACGAAGCACTTACACAGCCCACCCCTATCTCCATCGTCCTCACAAGAGACATTACGACCAGCAGATTTATATGGAGAGTTATTCTTTGGAGACGATAACGATGAGGAGCAGGGCTTGGATGATGCACTCCTGAGCCCCCCCTCGGGTTGGGCATCTAATTCTAGTGTTGATGGTGTGGACACGTTGTAATGGTGGTGTGAGTTAAGTGGTGGTCGGACAAGTTCTGGGAGTCTTTGGGATGGTGGTGTGACGACAATTGTTTCTTATAGGCATATCTCGGCACCCCCTGCTAAGTGTCTCGTGTCTCGAGACTGTTCTCGATACATATACATACCCGAAATGGAACAAGTTCGTACCTCATGTGGTGATGCAGAAGCCCTCCCAGGTCGCCGAGTCAGCACTGACTCGGCCCATCTAACAGCAGCGCAGAATAGGGCCTTACTTCCAGGGGCGAAGTTTTGCTTTGAGTGCCATAAAGACTTCCGTCTCACCCATCTTGTCGCGTCAGTGCTGGAGGAACTCGTCCACGAAGGCCTCGACGGCATCAAGGTCTCATGGAAAATGCAAGGAGTAAGCTACTCAGTCCTAGGTTCTGCTCAAGTTAACGATAGTCGGACCAACTGACCTGATTGTAAATGTAGGGAAATGTGGCAGAATGTGGAACGGACACAAGGGTTCGTGGAGGATGCCAAAGGTGGAACCGATTACTGAAAAAAGGAAACGTTTGACGGAATCATGTCCTACGCCATGAATTATTCATTGTGTTGAGATGTCGGGTCTGGCATCTTCCATTGTTGTTTAACTTTATACTCGAACTCTCTTCCGTCCTACGCCATGAAATTGTTTGTTGGATCACCACTGCCCAACGCTCTGGATGCCTGGAAATACGGGTTCAAGAACGAGGCAGAAAGTGTTGTGTAAAGAACGCTTCGTGAGTACTTGCGATGGGGCTTCCTTGTTTTCAATACAGTGATTCACATGAGTTTACAGCGGTGTTATCATCTATATTATATTCAGGCAGACTCATTACTGATCCTATAGTGATTTAGAGTCTTGATCTTGCTGATTCTATGGCCCATCTGATTAGCCAGTCACTCCTTTCTAGCCTTGAACTGAACCTTCAATCTCGTATCAGGGATAGCCATTGTAGCGATAAAAATGCCACGGGGCACATCACCCGGTGCAAGCTTGATGTCATACTTCAGCAACAGCAAACAGAAAATAAGTTTCATCTCGTGGACGGCAAAGAAACGACCAGGACTGGTTAAAAGATCATGATGTCAGTGCCGAGTTCCGAGGATCCGCGCTGTGAGAAATGACTTACCATGGATGCCTTCCATGACCGAACACGTGGTAGTTGTTGGTCGTGTTGACTACCAGAGTTTCTTTTGAGTCTTGATACTTGGATCCAATAAATCGAAACCCGTCAAAGATTTCCGGGTCGTCATACACTTCGGGGTCTCGGTGTAGAATAAAACTCGGGGCACCGACCTTGCTGCCGGGAGGCAGCACAGTTCCGTCGGAGAAGCGAAACTCTCGTTTTACGTTCCTCTGCATTGCCACTAGATGATACTTGTCAACACATATCCTAACTTTTGTACTGAGGCCAGCTTTTAGCTGAGGACATACTTAGACCAGCGTTGTTAAATCGACCAGATTCTCGTAGAAAACTATCCATTTTGTGGAGCTTTCCCAACATAGCCGGAGTGATTTCATCATCTTCAAGGTTGTCGAGGACTTCTTGTCGAAGGGGCTCGAGATACCTCTCTGGTTCCATGGCCAGAGAGTATAGGGCACCTGAGAATACCTTTTGTGATATGAGTTTGGGACTAATATGTAGATCGATAGATGCCATGATCACTCACCATTGTCGTGGTGTGAATCGAGGCCACATTCAGAGCCATCACACGCTCTGCCAACTGCGGGACAGTCTTCTCCACGGGGGGTGCGGCATCGATGAGCCACTGGACGAGATCGTGCGGCTTCTGTCCATCCTCGTCAAGCTTACCGTCTAGACGATCTTGAATGTATTGATGTAGAAACTTGGCGCCGGTGCGTCGATATTTCATGACAGGGAGCAGCTGAGTGACAAAACTGCCGGTAAATGATCAGTTATCGTGCTATGAAACACAATTATAGGTGAGATAAGTACCTCTTCATGAACTCTGGGAATAGGCGAAGAATTTCGGCTGAGATAACCACAGCTTGGGCATAGTCTGCTGCGTTTTTCAAGTATTCTTGGTTACGGCCTTTGTGTCTCATTAGCAAGACTTCTTGGGAGACTGGGGATGTCTAAGGGACGACTCTTACAGAACTCAGTTCCGACATAAACCCTACTGCTAACACGTGCCACGGTCATGGCGAGTATGTCGTAGAGGCCGATGGGCGTATAGTCTAATCAGAACTTGTCAGATGATTTCCGACAATTCTGTTCGTGGTAGAAGAATTCGGAATACCTTCAGGCGAGCCGATCAAGTCGTCCAGGGCCAAAGAAGCTTCATTTAGCATCTTTGGAGTGTTTATTCCCAGCTCTTTTGTCAAAACTCCTCGGACGACGGATGTGTGATACGTTCTGTAGCCAACGCCGTAACCCATAGTATAGGGAATTTGTTGTTGCTGCGTTTAGATTTAACCCAAGAACTGAATTGACACCCAGTAAAGCACTTCCTCCAGCCTGTGACTTACATCGTTCGAACCATCTTGCATGTTGAGCACACTGTCAGGCGCCTTAATGTACTCTGCGACCTTGCGGCGGTCTGTGACCAGAACGTACTCCCCTTGTAGGGTAGCGATTCGAAACATGCCGTTCTTCGACTTGGCTGATCCTTCTTTGACAAGCTTGACGGGGTTGAGGAGAAACCGGATGGCTGCCACGTATGAGTCGATGAACGGGATTGGTGGGAAGCCGACAGAGGCCACCTTGGGCTGTAACCCAGTGTCAGCCGCCTCGAACAGGTTCACCAGACATTGATCCTAGTCAATCATGGGTTGATGAAAGTTATGCCTACTGTTTTTCGAATGTACTGTATCCGGTTTATTATCAGGTAGATGAGGAATCCAATCAGCAAGGCCCGTGTGACTGAAGCTTGCTGCTGAATTTGCGCAAGAACAGATCGCGCTCGAGCAGCCAAAATGGCCGATGGTTCGTCTAGCTTCATCTTTCTTGATTCAGCAGACGGAATGGAATGAAGCCTCAGATTAGACGCTACAATCTGCCGAGACGCAAGGGATCAGGCGTATGTCGACACAGCGAAGCATCTAACATGCGCAGTCTCAGCCGACTCCTCACCAATTTGTACGAGATAATTATTCATTCAATTGAAATAAGAAGGCTCTGCCTGGATCTCATTTCAAACATGCAATGCGGACACCGCGAGAACCCGAGGTTTAGGAGTAGCTAGGACGACACGTTACATTAGCTGACAGCATGCTATGCCAGACGAACAGCGATGTCAGTCTTGCTGACATCGCCGCATTCCTGGCCCGAAGGAAGCCTATTTGATCTCTTTATGTACTGAATCCCAGTCATTGTTCCTTCTTCAAGCAATAAACCGAGGTCCACACGGCAATCAAGGGACATGACAACCAAAAGCGAGTACAGCTGGCGACCCGTCTGGGGAGGGGATTCTCGTACTTCGTACAGCACCGCAAGTGGCACCATGAAGTGGGTTCTAGTATACGAGAGGTACGATACGCAACCCGATGGCTCGGGTTCCCTTCAATTTGAGCTGCCAAATTGACACTAGCGATCGACAATCTTGCAGCAGTCCGAGAGGTTCGCGACGGAACCATCCCGTCCGCAACTCTCTGTTAGGCAGAGGACCGTACGCAACTAGCATCTCCAATAAGGGAAACTTTGGGGATGCAAGCACGCGCGTCCGAACTAGGGATGCTGATGATAGGGGTGCACCATGACTTGAAGCTTGTGAGTCTCGTCAATAACTCAGTTCATTGAAATTAACAAGCTCTTTACTTGGACTTGATACGTCTGAGGTTTTGGCTTAAACCGATTGTCTCCAAATGCGAGTTGCATCAAAGATATTGTTGATTGAAAATGATAGTTTGCCACCGTTGAACCCGAACGTGGTGTCTTTGATTTCATTGCCGGCGACCATGATCATCGGCTAGGCTTTATCTCAGGGCTACAAAACACACTGCCACAACTTAGTTTGGTACCGTGATCTACCAGTATGGCTGGAACTGGGGCCACGATGTCACGATGTGCTGCTATAAATCATGGAGAACCGCATCAAGACAGTTATGGAACATTACCGCGGCCGATGTGACATCTGGGATGTCGCCAACGAAGCCGTCGACGATGATGACAGCCTGCGTCTGAGCCGCTCAAACCATGTAGTGTTCACCCTCTTTCTAACTGTTCATCTCTGAGCTTATAGCCGCGCCCACGCTCGACTTGACAGCACTAGGTAACTTTAGGTATCATGATAGCTAAAAGTTGGGGTTCTGTCGGCTAAGGAGAGTATGCATATCAGTCAATATAGTGCCGAATCAGCGTGAGATTCACATGGAACTCCAGCAGTACACGTCCATGCTATTTCTGTCAAAGTCCAAGCCTTGAGACAGAGCGGAATGGCCCCTGCCCCGGTCAAAAAAGTGAAGGGGTCCTACAATCCAGCTCGCCAATGTGCATGCAACATAGTACGGGGTTAATCACTATTCGCAATAGCATATCACTCCCTGCCCCTGACTTATGCCCTCCCCTACAGGTGACAGACGCTCCATCTCGCATCTTTGGCAGCTCGTTTGCTTGTTAGGTACCACTTTTAGTGCGGGCATTATGTTACTGTCTTGGCTCTCCCAAGCGCCTCAGTCCTACTCGTTACGTTCCAGTCATCTTCGCCGGTGGTACCTGATTTCTGTTGTTGGGAAATACTCGACCTAAATCCAAACGTGAGTCAGTCGCAACCTACCAACAGACAATGGCCCCTGCAGTCGGCACTTTGGGCGACTCTCCTCCTGGCAGCAAGGAGGACGCCCGCCGAGCCCGGAAACGCGTCACAGACCGCAATTCGCAGCGGCATCACCGTGAGAGACGCCGGGCGTACATCAAGAAACTTGAAGAGACTGTGCAGTCCTACAAGCAGGGCTGCCTGCTCAATGGCAATGCCGATACGGCGGCACTGCTTTCGGAGATAGAAACCCTGAGGGCTAAATGCCGGAGGTTAGAGTCTGTCGTGGAACGCATCAAGGATCTCTCCAGCTGTGTAGATTCACCAACACCAGATGCCGTTGATCTTACCGACCCGCAGCAAAGTGAAGCATCTCAGGGAGATTTAAATGACAATGCCCCAACAAACGCTTGTTCTCTACATGATGAATCAATGGAAAGAAGCAATATCGAGAGTATTGCTGGGCTCTTACCGCCAGCCGACTCCAAAGTCCAGACTTCTCGCAATGCAGATGGGGAGAGGGCATCGTCATTCCCTCAAGATCTTGATCTTGCTTCTTTCTTAGCCAACTACGCTAACCAAGGACTCGGGGAAACCAGCTCATTAGGCGTGTCAGCTAACTCGGGTCTTGGGCTTGTTAGCACTAACGAGGAAACGCCGGTCGAAGAGTTCAGATCCATTCAACATGTCGGAGGCTGTCTTTTTAGGAGCCCACCAATGTCTTTAGCCCTGGTGCCAGCCTCACTTGGCTCATCGACCTGTCCCTCAACCGGTCCCGATGGCAGATGTTATGGGGTGCATTCGGCGCTTCCAATGGTATCCCAGCCAAAAGGGGTGTGGGACTTGATTGTACGAGACATAATACAAGACACCCAGCTCCATTCTAGCACTCTACGTAATGCTTCTGAGACGCCATCTCTCCGATCTGTGCTCGTGGACAAGTCCACTGATGTGCTAGCCTCACGGCTGTTTTACCACATCACTTCGTTCAACCCGATACCGCTTCATATTGCGTTGGCAAGTTTCTGGGTCCAATACCTCTACCTTAGAGTAAGTACCGGCCTACTCCAACTATGCAGTACTCGAACTTGATGGCCTAACGAGGTACGTGAAGTGGGTTGCGACGGGAACATGTGAAGCATATCACCAAATTCCCGAGTTCATGAGGCCAACCAGCCTGGAGAGGCGCATTCCGCACCAGGTTTGCATCGGTATGCTCGTATGGTAGGCAATAGAATATATCTCCCCATGTTCAACTGTAGTCCATGCATCTGTTACTAATTCATGTCTTGCCTTACAAGGCCCGATGTTCGGGGAACGCTCATCCGAGACACTCAATCCACTGACCCGGAGAGTATTGGGATTGAATTACTACAGCACCTATCTAATAAACATTGGTCTGCCACATCTCAAGTTACCGGTGATATGATCGGGGGCATCGACATACTTGCCATCATTCAACACCAGGCTTGTCAGTGGGAGACTTGGAAGGTTGATCCTGTTTTTCAGCAAAAGTATCCTCAGTTCGCCCACTGCGACTTCCCTTGACATATCAGGTCATCGCAGCTCTATTCTGAACCGTATTGGCCGCAAGTACCCCCTGACATTCACGGCTTCCGGCTCTCCATAGGGGAGCAGGGCCCTTGAGCATATGAGAGCGTAGCCGACTTCTTCTTCAAGCATCCTGCATTAGCCCGTACACGGCCTTCCCCGCATCAATACGGAATCAGGAGGCGGCAACGCTGGTTCTAACTTGCATCACTATGTCACGCTAACGTGTGTCATCTATGTCGTGTCAGCCTGTTTGACACCGTCCCGGCCGGACCTAACCGGGGTTGCTATCAAACCCACGCCCTCTTTGATAAGACGGGGTTGTTTTCGACGTTTAATGCAGTCTTTCCATTGGAGAAACTCGATTTAGGAAGATCGTACCATTCTATACTATTCTATACCATGGCGTCCCAAGAAGAGATGAAAAGCTATGCCACGTACCTGGCAGTGAACACCCCTGACTCGTCCAAGGGCCGCCCTGTCACTGAAATCGCCGTATTCAAGCTCCAGGACCTTTACGTCGAGAATCATGCCGCCGCCATGTCAGAGTTCGAATCTCAAGTCATCTCGAATACCACCCCTGGCTCAGCCTACGCACAAGGTATCCGCAAACTCGCCTGGGGATTCTCTGCAGACAGTCCCGACACGTTGGTCTGGATCCTCGACTGGGAGAGGATCGAAGACCACTGGGACTTTTGGTTGCGACCTGGTTTCCCGCCGCTGATGGAAGCGCTTTCAAAGCTATTTCAAGCTGGAAGGCCCCTGGTTCGACACTACGATTTTGGTGGTGATGGGATGCTTGACGGCAAGTTCCAGGCTGCGAGGGTGATGGTTTGAGATGATGGCGCAGACGGCAAGAAGAATGGGACAGCGCGGAGTCTTGGGGCTAAGCATAGCAACGCCATACAGGCACGAGAAGGTTATGCTGTCGACGTGAATGAGGATACTTGGTGGTGTACTCTTTTGGGGTATGAGACGGAGGCACAGGCCAGAGCAGATACAGGGCTGTCTGTGTCGGCTGTAGAGTCCCATATTCTCCAGCTCAGGTATGCTTAGTGCGTGGCATAACGATGTGCTCTAATCAGGCGTTACTTCTAGGCCATATGAACACGAAGGAACTCAAGCACCATCTCCCAGCACTCTGCGATGTCCTTGTTTCTGGTGCCTTTATAGTGACTAAACCCATGAATGGACTTCTTGAATTCGTGCTCTGTTATATCCACACCAGCCCTTTTAAGCTTCGTACAATACTCATTAGCCTCGAGCTTCAGGCAGTCTCTGCCAGCAGTGATACAAAGAGTAGCAGGTAGTTGGAGGACTCGCAACTCCTCTTCAGATACCAGCACTGGGGCAATGAAAATCTGGTTCTTGTCGATATACGGAGGTAGGTAGCTCGCCTCCATGAGGGTTGCTGCCCAGACCGGCAGACTGGACGCCTGCGTTTCGACGTCGCTGCCATTGAATCTGTCAATGTACGACTGGTGACAAGCCACACTTGGGTAGAGCAGGATTTGGGATACTTGTTTGACATTGTAAGGCAGGCCTCGACGAAACTTCAAGAATGGTTCAGTCTTGATGGATAGGAGTAGTGTCAAGGCCGCAGTCAGATTGCCGCCGGCAGAGTTTCCCATCGCTGAGATCCTCGAGGCGTCGATTTCCACGCCCAGCGCTGCATTTGCCTGTTCACTGAGGGCCCAGCGAAGTACTTCGTATAGCTGGAGCAGGGCGTGTGGGTATGGATATCTCGGAGCCTTTGCGTAGTCAACCGAGATCACAACCAACCCAGCCTAAGCATTGGAAAGTTAAGTCAGCCACATTCCAGACTCTCTTTGGAAGCAAAATGCCTCACCTTGTCACTGATCGAGCGGTCGATGTGTTCACCATCTGCGGGTTGCCCTAGGACGAAGCCTCCTCCTTCTGCGACTAGAAGCAATGGCTTCGGGCCACGATTGCCTCCCTCCTTGGGCGGGAGGCATACTGAAATCTTGACGCGGCCCTCCCCTAATCCTGCCGTCTCCACGGTGAGAACTTTATCGAAAAGGGCTCCGCTGCTCGTCTGTGCAGCAACGGCTTGCCTGAGCACCCATGATGATGCGTGAAGATACAAGGCATAAAGCGGGCCGTAGCCGGTGCCAATCATGACTTCCGGTACCCTTTGCTCAGTGGGAGTCATCATAGAGGTGGAACTGTGCTCTGCTCACCAACGCACTTGAGACGGAGGGACAATTTGTCTTGAGGAGCAATAGCCAAGCATATTTTCTTGCTCAAGTTGCATTTGTATCATTCACTCGGTCCGAGTGGCGTCGGGTTCGATGCATGAGTGACCATCTACGCTATGTCAGTCGCGCTGACAAAGTTGGTCATGCGAATGCTTAGGATCCTACGTAGGAACCCCAATTCATTCATCACCTCGGCTAGCGAAGTCAAGACCTTTTCTGACAAATCTGCCGAAGCAATCATGATTTACCGTTTTCCAGGTTATAGCTTAGTAGTATGGGTACTTTATAGTTCTTCTCCTTTTATATGCATCCTATGCTGTCACTGAGTTGAAGTTTCTCGCATAAATCTTTAAGTTCCGCAACTTGAATCCTCTGTCAACCAAACCGTCACGACCAGCAGAACATCTGAAGAAAATTTCATAATCACTGTTATGGAACAGGCAGCGGAATCCCCAATCTCACCTGGGACAAGCGAGAAAAAGGGGTGTGATGCCGCAGCTCATACCGGGCCGAATCAAGATTCAGCGACAACTAATGCCCGTTCACCTTTCAAACTTAGGCAGCAATGGCACTCACAGCCGAGGAAACTACGCATAATTCACGTCGGCGCCGGTGCCACCGGCCTCTGTGCAGCCTTCAAAATGGAGAGACAGCTCTCAGACTACGAACTCGTGTGCTATGAGAGGAACGACGAGGTCGGCGGTACCTGGCTGCAGAACCGCTATCCGGGGTGTGCTTGTGACGTTCCGGCGCACATATACACCTATACCTTTGAGCCGAATCCTCGCTGGAAGTCCTACTACGCCTATGCACCAGAAATTCAAGAGTACTTTGTCAATTTCTGTGACAAGTACGGTTTACGCGAGTATATCAAGTTCAACCACGAGGTACTTTCTGCTGTCTGGCACGAGGGGGAAGGGCAGTGGAAAGTGCAGATCGCACACAATGGACAGGTCTTCACAGACTGGTGTCACGTTCTAGTCAATGGGTCAGGGCTGTTGAACAAATGGAAATGTATGCCATCAGGCACCTCCAGGAACTGTCGTTTGTGGGAAATGAGCTGACACCCTTGGTTCAGGGCCCGATATTGAAGGACTTCACTCTTTCAAGGGTGCCCTTATGCACTCGGCCGAGTGGGACCGTACGTGAGCTTTCTATCTTGTCTTTCAGCATCTACGAGGATTAATAAACGACCAGGTGACTACGACTACGCCGACAAGCGTGTGGCCGTGATTGGAAACGGGTCGTCGGGGATACAGATCATTCCACAGTTACAGAAGAGTAAGTCTTGACACGCACCCGATGGTCTCTTCAAGGCAACGTGACTAAACGTAGACTTCAACTTTTAGCTGCCGCTCAAGTGAAATGCGTCATGCGTGGAACCACTTGGGTAGCACCCCCCATGCCTCGAGTTCCTGTTGATGTTTCGGAAACCGGCAAGGATGCCAAGTTCGACGACGAGGAAGCGGTGCATCCAAATACAGGACAGTACTTCTACACTACCAGAGAGGTTGAATGTCTGGTAAAAGATGCAGACTACCACCTGGACTATCGCAAACGGATTGAGTACGGCATCAATGCGAACTTCAGTATATTTTACAAAAACTCGGAAGCCTCCCGACAGGTAGAGGCGTATATGCGGGCCGAGATGAATCGGCGACTGCAGAACGATCCGGTTCTTACAAAGAAGTTAATCCCTACGTGGGATGTAGGCTGCAGGTTAGTCCGTCAGGTCCCTCTTCGTTCCGTCCGCATACCAAGTCTCATCATGATCTTAGGCGGCTGACACCCGGAGACGGCTTTCTTGAGGCCCTCATCAAGCCAAACGTCGAATGCCTCTTTGGAGACATTGCCCGGGTGTCAGAGACTGGTATCACCATGACAAATGGGAGCCATCATGAGGTGGACATGGTTGTCTGTGCTACTGGTTACGACATAGCCTGGAAGCCGCACTTTGCGCTGGTGGGCCGCAAGGGTGTAAACCTGGACTCAATCTGGGGACCAGTACCAAAATGCTATCTTGGCATTGCACACCCAGGGTTTCCAAACTATTTTGTAATGAACGGCCCTCGCGCGAACCTAGCAAACGGAACGGTCCTCCCTTGTTTGGAGACGGAGATAGAGTACGTGATCCAGGCAGTGAAAAAGATGCAGTCGGATCGTATCAAATCACTCGACATCCGGGAACGGGTTGTCGACCAGTTGGATGAGTACATTGACGCCTGGCATGAAACTGGCGTCTTTTCAGGCAGTTGCCGCAGCTGGTACAAGGATGGCACCGTCGACGGGAAGGTTAATGTATGGGGTGGCTCCGTAAGTCTGCAACACTGTACTTTCCTTGTGAATCGAGGCTGACTTTTGCTGGATAGAGCGTTCACTTCTTGAAGACGCTCAAGACAGCAAGGTGGGAACACTACGATATCCAGTATATGGATGAGAATATCTGGTCGTTTCTCGGAAATGGGCGCATCAAAGCGGAGTGTGACAGCAGTTTCGAGGGTTTGACTGCTTACCTACGGAACTCTGATTCGACCTGGTCGCTAACTTGAATGAGCAATTCATGTTTCGAGCTTAACTTCTTCTCACGCTTTGTGATAACAAGCCAGCATAGGGTTCGCTTTCAGAAAGGTTGAATGATGAAGTAACACTGAATGCTTAAGTTGGCCGGAAGACCATACATATGCGAGGCACGCCTAGACTAGTTGAAGTCCCAAAGGTACAAAACATAGGTTTATCTTTGAGGTCAACAATGAATTGCGCAGAATTTAAAAACTATATGTTACTTCAATATGTACATTATGCTAACTGAATATCCTGATCGAAAAATTGTTCACCGTTTATAAGAGACACATGGCCTTGAGCCGAAAGCAGTGACGATAACCGTGCTAAAAGATCGCAAGGGATTCCGAAGTTAATATCAGTCGAGTTGGAGTATCCTCGTAGTCGAGCCACCCGAAACCTTGAAAACATGACCATCTGCAACCTTCCCATCCACGCTAAACCTGCTCTTTGCTCTGTTGTTACTCTTGGGTGCGATGACAGTCCCATCAGTTCCTCCTGGGGCTGTGATATTTAAAGAAAACAAGCCGTCGACGATCTCCCACTCAACTTCCATGTCTCCCAAGGGCGTGGGCAGTCGCCCTCTTGCAAAGGTAAGATCCATAATCCGCGGCTCGACAACCCAGCTAACCCACCCCGGCTGCTCGGGTCTCGCTCCCAGAACGTACCTACTCAACTCAGCAGTCGGTCCAGCGCTCCAGCCATGGCAGAGACTCGTACCCAGGCCCAGTCCTGGTCTGCCGTCCGCATCAAGCGTCTCCCAGAATGTGCCCGTATAATTCTCATTCTTCGGGTCCGCCATGCTCGCCCAGAGCGAGTTCAGGAGCTCCGAAGCGAACGCGTCATTATTGGAAGCGAATGCGGCACGGAGATGGTACGATGACGCGTACGGGCTAATGAGACGAGCGAAACCTGCCTCTATGACGCCTGGAGAGAAGGCCAATGAGCCTCCGGGGGCCGCGAGATCATTGGACATGGCTGAGAGAATAAATTCGGAGGAGTGGTTAGCGGCAGTGTTGACTCCTGCCAAGATTGCAAGTGCGTTCGAATCTTGTCCGTATCCAGATCCAATGTCCTCTGAGAACTGGTAGGCATTCAGATCTTGGTTCCAAAGCCGTCGGTTGATAGCCTGTCGCAAGTTGTCGAGTCTCTCCTGGTAGACATTGACGTTTACGCCAGCATCTGTGAGGAGGGGCTGGCATTCCTGGAGCGCGTATGCGTACAACATGTTGAACTTGGCGACAACGCCTACTTGAGGAGGGTCGTAATAGTTCCAGTCTCCCCCGAAACTGCTGTCGCTGAGGTTGAAAATCCCATCTTGGAGAGTCTGCGAATGAGCCCAGTCGAGCATCATGGTGGCCTTGGTAGCCCACTCCTGTGCAAACTCTGTGTCACCAGTGTGCATATGTGTTTGCGCAGCGGCGTTGAGGAGATTGAACGAGTACCCAATCAGCCCCGTGATGTTCACAGGCAGAATATACGTTAAAGGCTCCTGTTGAATCTTGGCGGTGGGGATAAAGAATCCAGGCTCAGCTTGGTAACTCCCGAGTAATTTGAGAGCCCCAAGCAAAAATTCCAGTCCGTACGTGCTCGTCAACGCGGCACGGACAGCGATATCCAAGTCTCCAGAGTAGGCGATACGATCCCTCCGCGAACCATCGATAGACACGTCAAGCGGATTTGACCCCATCATAAAGTCCGGTAAGAAGCCGGCGTCAGTCAATGGATGAGAGTACAGCATCTCGCCTTCTGGGCTCGTTGCCTCCAAGTCCTTGAAGACAGCACGATATCCGAACGAGGCTCCGAGGCCGAAAGCCCCGTAAGATTTTGAGGTTTGGGTCATTTGGATGACATGAGAGTCGTTGATGAACACATCGATGTCTGTGATGGCAACTTGAACTCTCACTTCATTCCAAGCGCCGAGGTCCAGTGTAACGTTGCTTGGAATTGTGAAATGGTCAATCATTTCGTTTTCGGAAGACGCCCCCTCGTGCACTGTAATGATCTGATTGTCGATATCACAGGAGAAGACAATTCCGGAGTTGAGTGTATCTGACATCACCGAGAATGCGAATCCACCAAGTTCAGCTTTCACTTGGAAGGAAACATTGTACTTGGTTGCCTGCGCCAGTTCTGCGCTTCCTAGAGCCTGGGGAATCAAGCTGTCGACCAACGCACCCTCTTCAGTGACTTGCCAGAAGTCAGGGATCGAGTTCTTGGGAATCTCGGTCATCTGGATAGTCTTGGCGCCAGCTAGCCAGATGCGGTTGAGAGTCTCATCCGAGCTCTCAAAGGAGCCGGGGAGTTCGGTCAGCGGCGTTGTGTGGATGGTGGGCGTTACGCCGACATTCTGTAAGATCAATTCTCCTGGAGAGGACAGATTCAGTTTGCAGTAGCGGAAAGCTCCCTGGATCAAGCGGTTGGTGACCTGGCCTGGTGCTGAGATGTTGTATCGGTTAACACGATAGGAGTCCATAGCAGCGGCGTGTTGGACTGGGCCATCGCTCTGTGACGGTCGACTTAGCTTTACATTCATTAGAGAATTGTGATGTTGCACTTACCATGTAATTGCCCAGAGCGGCTTTTGACTCAGCGTAGGTAATCTCCAAAACAGACGTATCACCTCTAGTGCTAAGGACCTCGAACTCGGGAATTCCTTCAAAACTCTGCTCGTAATCGAGGATAATCACAGCTGGGCCGCTCGAGTTCGCCAACAAAGTCAGAGTATCGTTGAAGAGATAGATGGGTGTGTTATCCAAGGCCGTAGCTAGTGCGCTCATGAAGAGAGCTACTATAGCCAAGTGAAACAAGAGCAGAGTCATGTTTAAGATGGTGATGATGACGAAAGGAAATGAGGAAGTTGTGGTGGACTGGTGGTGGTAGGCAAAAGTGAAGGACCTCCACTGCCTTTAAGGTAATTTTATGTAAAACATGATCGTTTGGCGATGACGACGCAGACCAGGACTTTTCTCATGAGCCGTGGGTTTGACTCAACCATTCGGACCTACGTATGCCGCGGAGGCTCGCCTTACTGGTAAACAATTAGCAAACCGAGCCGATCGTTTCCTTCGCACCAGGCTTGGATTCTTTATTTCTATGGCTGTCACTGAAAGGGGTCTAAGTGGGACTCCCTGGAACGACTATCCTCGTAAGACCCCCGGCAGTGCTTGGCTCGGCGATCCGAGAAGTACGAGATACTCGCGTCTAGTACGAGATACAAATACGACAGCTCCCGCCCCATTCGCATAAGCTTCCCTTCATGAGCACGTCTTCCTCCTCCCAAGAGTCACGTGTGCATCCCTCGCTCTGCTTCTTGCCAGCCAAAACCCGAGGCCACAACGGACATTCCGCCACAAGCCTTGGCTTAGCCTGAACATGCTCCTTGAGTGATTCCATCTATCCTTCTACGCACCCCTGCCTGTATTTGTTTTCTAGCTACGATGGCGGACCATGCTTCCGTGGGGCCTGCGTTAAGGTTACTAATCGCTTGACGATGTGGAAGAGGAGATAGAGGGCGGTTATAATAGATTTTTTTTTAGCTTTAATCTAGATAAATTAAATATAAATCCAGTTAGTGTAAGAATAATCTATTATTATCTATAGCGATATAACACTTCATGGACTTCACTAGGGCAATTTGGTTTGCTTGAAGCATATATAGGGTAGGTGGAATAACACTATCTACGAGAGCTGTACTAGTCGTAATGATATTATGGCTAAATGAGAGGATTTGTTTCTCGTCGTTATATGGGCGTGGAGTTTATTTGAGCAGAAATTAATTCGGACATTCTATTTAGCTGTTGCGATGGACCTGCTGTCAAGTTCGCAATAATGTTACTAGCCTACATGTATCTATGTAGTCAAAGCCTGCCCGGATTCTCAAGAGGGTGTATCCTGCTTCCTTCGACTGTATGTTGACTAAAACCAATAGCATTGTCATTATTTGACTGAAATTAATTCTGCGATTTGTTTTATTATCGTCTACCACTTCCTTGAACTCGTCATCGACATTGGTAGACTTGGGATCATAGGAGGTTAAGCATCGCAAAATACAAGCAATCTATAGCACGCGCCATTTCGCTTAAACTGTTGGCAATAAAGTCATGAAAGTTGGTATATATAAATTGGCTTGGAAGGTTTCTAGCTAATCTCGCATTTTCGGTACGTTTGTCGATTGGCACGGATGTGCAAGTTGTGAGGACCGTCTACACGGTTTCGCGTTTAGTTGCTCGGTCGGCCGGGATGGTCTGAGAAACACCCAAAGAGCACGTAGGAGACAATTTTCGGACTCAAAATGTATTATAGAACATCTAGAATCATATCGAATGAGTCCTAGCAAGTTCAATGTGGGTTTTTGTTGTTCGGAAAAAGGGGTCGTGTTGATGTCGCTGGGCAACTTGGCACCAGAACGCGATCGGGCTATGGGCGTAGGACAGGGCAGCTCTTCTCGATGTAGATTCCGTCACATGAAGCATCACAACTTATGCTAATTTGGTATGTATTGAAGTTGAATTTGATCCGGTTCGACATCTATCGTCCTGTAGTCCGTCCTGGCGCTGGCTGCTTTGTCGGCGGGGGAAAACTCGAAGTACGTCCACTGCTTGTCGTCATCAAGAACTTTGACACCGCGACCTTCGGAATATGAAAAATTATTAAGAAGGCGTGAATCGAGTTTTCCTTCGGTTCTCAAAGCATATTGAACCTCGGTTAGGAATATCAATCTCCTCAGGAGAGAATCCGGAGTGATTAAATGCCAAGCATGACCCCTTTAGTTACCCAAGATGAATACTCGTGTACGAGTCTAAACTTGCTAGGGGTTTGTTGGATATGTCTGGCATCCCTGTTTGCGGGTTGCGGGCCATCCTGTGCCCTCGATGCGAAGCCAACTCGCCGCCCCCGTGTAGAGGTGAACCCACACCACGACAATTGGATCTGGAACGACCCGGGTATAAAAAATACTTGATCGAGAGGGCCCAGATTATGCCCAGACCCTCCACCAAGATTCTCTCTGGCTGTAGAGATTTCGGACTGGGGGATCCAGATTCTCTCCGCCACCGCCACCCATATAGACCTCAAAAATTAAACAAAGCGGATGCCCCGGACTATGTCAGAATATTGAATATTAGGCTGGGGATGTTTTTGAGGAGTTGGTCATCTGACGCTATCATGCTGTCTTGCAAAGACAGCGGCCCAGCTCCAGTGAGCAACCACAGTTATTGACCCATTATAACGGGATAACTCATATGCCAAGAAGATCTGAAGGATGTCTCACAGCTGTGATCCGATGAATAATTAATCCGGTCCACGATATATTACAATGGAATGTGTCCGGATTCAGTAAGACATTTCGACGCGCCTGTGATCCGAGCCCAGTTTCTTGACTGATCTCCATCCACACACTGCAATTTGCATGCCTTGGGGTGACTCCACCTTTTGGGGGGAGAGAAGATGTCATTTTAGTACGGCACAGGCAGAGAACGTCCAACAGAGTTCGACGTCCAGGTGTATGTGGTGGGCCGTTTGCGAGTCACTCACCCGTCCGGTGACCACCCCTCCATCAGCACCTCCAGCCCGGGTTGGCTACCAGTGGGAAGGATTCCCACAGTCCAGGTGCCACTGGCGCCCGCCTTAACTCGTGTTTGTTTATTCACTTTTTTTTCCTGCCTTGCTTGCTTGCCACCCGTGGCGCCCCTTAAAAATATTTGTGGGGCCACCCGACTATTCTCTCCTCTGATATGCACGAAAACGTGACAGACAGGTGCGTAGTGATGAATAGTTGGTGTTTTATTGATCACGGCTGGAACATGAGGAAATGAACATGTGGACCTGCAAAGAAAATTTCAACATTCACGGGTAATATGGCGATGCCAGGACATCCCTGAGCTCTGCGGCAAGAATGAAACATGGGCATAAAGTCGACAATACCCCGGATGCATAAATCGTGTTGTATGAGCAAGGTCCAGAACCACCACGCACGGACGGGGAAGTGCGGTTTCATTATTCGAAGTCATCGGGATTCCATGTTCCATCATCAAAATCTTGGAGAAGTAGCAAGCCATGACAGGGAACTTGATTTGAATCTGTTTATAAAAATAGAAATTCCATGACTCAATTTTTCTTCTTCTCCAAGTTGGAGTTTGTTGTCGATGAAAACGTCGTCGAAAGCATGTCACATAATGAATTGTGGAGACGATTTGAATAAATAAGATCATATACTGGTCATTAACTATGTAAACATCAATAGCAATAAATATCAGTATTGCATTGTATAAGATGATGTGCAACTCCTTTTCTCCCCATTTTGTATATTGACAGCGATGTAAGTCTATCTTCTAAACCTGGCCGGCGCGGCGGCTCTGGTAGCGGGCAAGCAGGTAGTGAAGAGCAATGTAAGAAACAACACCAGTAAAGCAGAGACCGCTGATGACACCGAAACCCATCAGGTACTTGGGGGCGTCAGTGGAGGGGAACAGGTAGGCACCGTAGATCTGGGCCAGGTTACCCATGGCGTTGACAAAGGCCAGGGAAACAGCGCGGACCTCATCGGGGACAGTGGCGAAGGTGACGGATGCGTAAGAAAGAGCAAGACCGTTGGAAGCCCAGAGACCTGAGGCCATGATGACAAGCAGAGCATATCTAGCAGTGTAGTTGTAGACGGCGCAGATGATGATGGAGCAGACCATGGCAACAGTCATCCACGCGCCGAGGATGAGGCCACGGTACTTGGCGTATCTATCAGCGAAGAATCCGGTGATGGCAGTGGAAACGAAGGCAACACCGAAGATGGGGATAGTCATGTACTGGGCGGCAGTAGATTCGTAGCCAAGACCCTTGACGAGAGTAGGGTAGAAGTAGGAGAGTGTAGAAGAACCGACGATCGCCATATAACCAACAACCAAGAGCCAGGTGCGCCAGTTGGTCATGGAGGCCTTGAAGGCTGCGAGGGGAGTCAGGCGGTTCTCCTCAGTGGTGACAGTTCGAGACTCGCTCTGGAGGCGACGGATAGCAAGGGCGCGCTCCTCCTCGTTGAACTTGGCTAGAGAAGTGGTGGCGGGGAAGTCGGGAAGGACGAAGGCGGCGATTAGGGAGAAACCCATGGTGGCGGCACCCTCAACAACGAAAAGCCATCGCCAACCAGCCTTGCCGTGGGCGCCATCGAGACCCTTGGTGATGGAACCAGCAAGGAGACCACCGAAAGCACCGGAGAGAATGGCAGCTGAAATATAAACAGCGAAACGCTTGCTCTGCTCCTCCTTCTTGTACCAGGATGACAGCAGCATCAGAATACCGGGGGCAAATCCAGACTCCAGGCAACCCATGAGGGCACGGAGACCAACAAGCTCGGCGTAGGTGGGAGTGAAGGCCATGGCAATGGTGACACCTCCCCAGAGGAACATGATGGTGGCGAGGTAGATTGAAGGTCGGGTGCGGACAAGGATCATGTTGGAAGGGACTTCGAAGACAACGTAGCCAACGAAGAAGACAATCAGGGCAATGGAGTATCTGTTGGAGTCGAGTCCAAGATCAACGTCCATACCGGCAATCTTGGCATTTCCGATGCTATACTTGTGTGTTAGCACCTCTGTTGGTGACTGGAGTCACTTCAAAATTAGAAAACTTACTTGGTACGGTCCATATAAGATAACAAGTACATAAACCACATACAGGGAAGAAGATAGAAATCAATCTTCCGCACAAGTCTCTTCTCAGCGTCGGTTCCGGGGACATAGTCGTCGACGGCGTTGAGGGAAGGCTCCTGGGACTTGGCCACGTCCTCGTGCTCGAAGCTCTGCTGCTTCTCCATGATGAAGGATGTGATGTGGCCTGGGGATTTGACGCTGATGGCACGGTAAAAGAAGATGAGAGAGCGAAAGAGGGAGAAGAGTGTGGTGGTGAGGAATGATGAGAGACTGCCGGATGAACAGGGTGGTGATGAGGCAGGCTTTATGTTTCTGTCTGTCGACCCTCGAACTAGCAGTTGCATTTATTAATCTGGGGCTGGATGGAGAAGGCGTTGCAGGGGTGGACGAACGTTTGGATGCAATGGTGTAGAAATCTGGGTCGAGTTACTCATCAGAGTTCTCGGCCGGTGTGTGGAGCAGGACGAGGTCATTCCCGAGAAGGATTAGCCCGGTTCAGTCGAGAACAGCAGAACAGCAGAAAGACTTCACGCTAGACACATTGCTTCCCCAAGGGCTCCCCGCGGGAAATCTTGGGCCTGCTTGAGTCAAGAGCCGGGGCGGTGGGGGGAGGCAATCTCTAGTTTGTTTCTCCAACGAGGATGGGGGAAGCCCTGTTCAGCCCAGCTGAACGGGTTAGTAGAAAAATTGACGACGTCAGCCTCCACTGAAAACAGCCTCGTCTCGTGCGTCTTATCCCATGACCTTCAGAGGAAGTGAAGTACAGGGGTAAGAGAGCCTCTCGCCGGAACTCAACCTGCGGCAACCCTGCCAACACCCCTGTTGCAACCCATGTTGGTACTACTTATCGATAACTCTCCTTCTATTGCCACGAGACGCTGCAGCCTGCGTTTTCTTTTCCCGCTACCTACTCCGTATACTTGGGGGGATTCAAAATCATCCCCCCCCTTCGGGGGGGGGGGGTTCAGGGACTAGCAAATTGGCCAGCGACTCGCAAAAAGAAAAAGTGAGTAGACCTACCCTATAGCTTCTTTCTATAGGGTAGCACTAGTGTAAAGTGACTTAGTCCCCCTCAATAAATTAGTGGGCTACAAAGTCACTTTTTCCTTTGCGAGTCGCTGGCCAATTTGCTAGTCCCTGACCCCCCCCCCCCCCGAAGGGGGGGGATGATTTTGAATCCCCCCAAGTATAGGTAGCCAAGTTTAGGAATTCGTTTTGCCCCACAACACATATCCGAGAGCACAGTAAGGAGAAGGTGATCAGCCTCTTACATTTACCATAGATTCAGAAGTGCAAACTTTAAACATACATGTTAATTGTAGAATCCAGATCTTATCGTTTCCATACCACGCCCCATGCCACAAACTAAACCTCAAACCTCTGTGGTTGAGATCAAGTGGGAGAGGCAGCGATCTCTGAATGTTTAAGACTTGAAAGATGGCTTCAAAATTTGAAAATGATTTGAAATCAGCATCTCCATATTCACATATTTCTATACAGTGAATTAATATATTTGATTTTAAGCTACCCCTTTTCACAACCAGTCTTCAAAATGAGCGGACATATCAACGGCGAGGCCCTCTAGGTGCCCAGCACACACCCTGACCCTGATTATGAAAGCCCATTTCTTTGAAGGACAAGGTTATTGCTAATGTGCCTTTTTGTCGGCGATTGATAAGATTGCCAACTTATCTACCACTCCCGGCTATGTGCCTACCCTCGTGGCATCCCGGGAGTCCCTCCGAATGCATATTAACTCAAAGAAACAGTCATCGGCGCCAAATAAGGCATTGACCTGGACATTACCAAGTTGTGTCTAGCCAAGAAATTCACCTTTGTTTACATTATTCTCTGGATATCCCCGAGCCAGGTGAGGCCTTCCAAGAGCTACCCAAGCACCACCCCGGCCAGCTCGGCTTCCAAACCTGCGACGTCACCTGAGAGGAAATTGTCACGGCTACCATCGGCCGTTTCGACGGGATGGCTGCTACGGAGGAACTAAGCACCAAGCCGCCATAGGCTTGACCTCGATCAGGCCAAACGCCTCTTTGAGCTCAACCTCTTTGGCGCGTGGAACTGCGAGTTAACTGCGCCACTCCCCCAGCCGAGTGTGATTTGTCCATTCCCACTCTCTAAGAGACGAATACCAACTTTTTCCATCGAGCTGCCCCTTCCGCTCCTTATGGTGGTACCAAGGGGGTAGTCCGCAACATGATACATACCCTCGCCATTGAATGGGCCAAACATGGCATTCGTGTCAAATCCGTATCCCCCGGTTGCGTCAAGATCGCTCTGACTTGATACATCGAAACCTCACCCGACTGTGACCTCAAGATGCAGTACTGTGGCGGCATGCATCGCCTTGCTCTACCCCAGAAGCTTCAATGGTGGAGCAAATGTCTATCTCCTCTCCGAACAGTCCACATACACGTACGCTAGCCAGTTCAATTGTTTCAGGCCTCTGAAATATTTGTAATACATTAAATTTAGAACCGGAATCGACTTGCCCATTGCTGGAATTGTAGGAGCATGACAACGGGTTAAAATGACATTATTCGATCAATTACCACAACTAGCTCGCCGAGGCGTTTTGGGCGTTGGGCATGTTTTGTGCGAATGCATGTATAGGGGCTGGGGCATACACCACCAGGCGTTCAAATGATAACTTTTTCAATCAACCACGTGTCTCTGTAGTATGCGTGTTCTCAAAGGCTAAAGCCAGTCTCAGTTGCGCATCAATAAGGCAGTCGCTCTAGATCGGATTGAGGCCGGGCGGTGGGGACGGTGATGCCGTAAAAGTGGAGCCCGTTCGGAGCTCATCTTCCTCATGAGCCCAGCACTAAACTCTGTTGATGTATTAAAGGAGTGTGTGAAGGTGGCTATTCATTTATTGAGTTGTCGGGCTCAGACAGCTTCAATTGCTGTTAAACTTTATTCTCTTTCTCTTACGTCAAGGTGGCTATGTGGCAAATGGCGTCAAAATGCTTCCTCACAGTTGTTTGGGTTGACCCGAACCTTTTCTTTTTATTAACCCAGAAGGAAGAGGTGTCAATTTCGGGTTTCACAGGCGATAAGAAGGAACTTTGGAATGGGAATGTTTGCGGCACGCTATTTCCGTTCTATAAATCGGTTGGAGAAATGAATGAACACCAACAACCTAGTTACTTTGGGCTCTTGGTTTTCATTGTAACAAGTTCAGGCCTATGAGCTCTACTTTCCGTGACTTGAGGTGCCAACATTAGCCTCTCCTACCTTCTTTTAGTAGCTCTAGGAGTAATATTCAGACTACTGACATCATATCCTTATGGCACTAGGAGAGCTTATTGACCGACTCAAGTATCCATTTTGTACTTTTAGATACTCTGATAAACCCCTTCGTCGTGGTCTAGCTCTATTTATAGAATAAATTTGCTTCCACGACCTCTTTTCCCGCTAACTGCTAAGGAGAACCTCTTCACAAATCAGTCCGACCTCCTAATGCTACTCATCAGATTTGCACCTCAACTTTACACGCCCCTCGACATCGAGTAAATAGCTATGCGCAACACACGTTCTGGCTCTAAATATAGGCTAATTAGTTTAAGATCAATGATTTTCTTGTCAATGACCAACTCACACAGCATGTGCACCCGTTGCTACATATTTGAATTAGCTTTATTTATGCTTATCTCTGCATATAACAAGGGAAACTTACCAAGTCTTGCATTTGCATCGTTCGCATCCGCATTCGGCAGCAATAGTCATCGTGTGTGTTTGTGTTGGTCTTGAAATCTTAATATATATCTGAAGCTAAAAAAGAAGCTGTTTTGTGAAAGGATTGAAAAGGTCCTAGTTGTGATATGGGGGTGATTGCCCTCTTATAATGCCGTCGCTCAAGCGTAACATTAGAGCAGAGCCTCATTCTTTCTGCTCGTCTCACTTCTTCAGTACCCCTCAATTATAAACGCGGGGTTTAGAGCTGTCAGACAAATCAGCGTTCAACGCAACCCTCCCTTCTCCTTGGCATACACACAAATGTGCAACATTGATACGTCTTGGCAGTCAAAGGCTGACGTGGCCTCGATGATTGGTAACTACCAGTGGACCACTCACTCCTGCATGTAAGAACTAAACATCAATATTGGTATGCTTGAGATTATGCGTTGAAAGGGCAAAATTATCTTAGTCATAAAACAAATGCGGCCCATGCGAGGAGCTGTTGGAGGAACGCCAAATCCATCGTGATCACAGGAAAAGCTGAACCTCGCTGACCAGGTCATTGACAGATCCCCAATAAAGCAAGGGGATTACTAAAGTCGTGTCTGAAGTTGAGGGTTCCTTCGACTATGGCGTTTTCTTACCTGGGTCAGCTTATTGTTAGCTACACTTAACCTTGTGAAATCGTTTGATCCAAGACGTTAAATTGAACGTGTTGACTCGCCTCCCATCACCAAGTGCGAGACCTCAAGATGTCATTATGTGCTTCTCATGAAATCAGCGCCATAGAGGACGATTCGGCAAATTCACGTCTTGGAAAAAGTGTTCATATTATGATTAACACATGTAATTAGAAGAATTTTCATAGAGACAATTCATTTTTGCATGTTTGCATAGACAAGGGAGCCCGCTTTCTATCGTTGCATAACCCTCCAGTCTTTAAACATGTGACTCAGTCGTCCAGTTCTGGAACCTCTGGGGCGAGGTATTTCATACATCGCATGTTCAAACCATCCCTGACTTACCCGCTACTATCACTCGCAACCAATCGTTCCAGTGTTTTTAGCCCTTCCTTGACGCTGTCGTCCTGGTTCTCATTCTCCTTCATCTCCGTCCTAGCAATCGCCAACACATGACGAAGTCCAAGCACCCCGCTTTCAGCAAGGGCATACGCAACTGCAGTCCTGAGCATGTTCTTAATAGTTCTCCCCTGTGGATGAGGTCAGTTTTCAACGCAGAAAATCGCCACAGAGATTTGGGGCAAGCCACTAACATTGACATTGAGTTTCCCGAGCGCCGTAAAGGCCTCCGTGGTCCATGTGCCGTCCAGTTTCACCTGCTCGTTGGCTGCAATAAGGGCCTTCCAGATCCCGGACTGGGCGTCGTGGCTTAGGTCCGGGTAGGAGATAGTGATATGGATGCGGCTCTTGAAAGCTTCGTCGAAATCTTCCTTGCGGTTGGTCGTGAGGATGAGGACACCCTGGAAGTATTCAATCTTCCGGAGGAAAACTGCAATTATTTAAGTGTGAATTTGTTTCGAGGGTAAAGGGGGGGAAGATTATTGCTCACCCGCAACAATGGCATTTCGATCCATCTCGGATGAATTTCGCTTACAAAGAAGAACATCGGCTTCATCTAGCAGGGAAACGGCATTCCATCTCTTTGTTAGAGCGAATATTTCGTTCAGGCGGGACTCGAGTCGGTCGACCTCGGTGCTTAGTTCTCCGCCAGAGATAGAATAGAGTGGTCGCTCGAGGTAGTCGGCCACACTCTCTGTGATAAGGTTAGCTGTATCAAGTCTTTATGCTTTCCCTTCGATGTCATATGTAGGACCTAATTACCTGCTGTAAGTGTCTTCCCAAGTCCGGGCTTGCTGTGTGAATGTCAGCCTTGACCTGTAAATGGAATGATGGGGCTGACATGCCCATGTAGAAGGAAGATCAAACCCTGGCCTTTCCCCGGGATCACATCATCAAATACTGTGGTTGTCTTGTCCTTGTGCCCTTTTATCAGGGCTTCGATGAGATCTTTGGTCACAGTGTCAAGCTGAAGAGAATTAAAAGCAAGAGTGTTCCATTTCACATCCTGAAGCCGGTCAGTCAGAAGCCACTGCCACTTTTTCTCCTTTAGACTGAACGCAGGGACGAGCGCTGGGTATAAAAGATCAAAATCATCCCCGGTGATTTTAAATTTTTCTGTGACGATTTGTCTTAGGCTCGAAAGGTCCGTCGGCTCGTCATCTTGGGCATCTTGGGCCGATTCGGCTTCGTCGAGCTGGGTTGAAGCCATTAGATCTTGACCAGCTTGCAGATTGGCAAGATGCTTAGCGGGATCGGTCTCCTCATCAGAATCCGAATCAGAACGCCTATGGCGATTGCGCCGAGTAGACTTTCTGGCCCCTTCTGGAGTTGCAATCATACCTCGACCCTTTGCTTTTGCTTGAGTGCGTGCGTCGGGGTCATTTAGTTTCTCTAGATCATTCGAGGTGCGGTTGCTCTCCAGATACGCTTTGAAATCCACAATGACCCTTTCATCGCTCTACAAGGACTCTAGAAATCAGAATTTTGGAGTCGCGGAGGGTATGGTGGGAATTTTAACAGACCTGCTTTGCGGCTCTCAATGGGTTGAGCAAGGTATTGTAGGCGTCGAAGCCATCATCCCATGAAGGGCCTGAATAGGTCTGAGACAGAAATGATGACAAGTCTTTGCCGAGAACTCTCTGTAGTATGCCCGATCGCGCCTTTAGGGAGGCCGTGATGGATTTCTTTTCCGGAAAATCCTCCAGTGGGAATGGTAGAAGAGGTAAATCCGATATCTTAGATACCTGCATCTGCGACATTGGCATGGTGAATGTTTGTCGAACCAGGCCTGGTGACTCGCCGCCAAAAGCAATTCTGAGGCCGAGGACAGTCCAGTGAGGGATGCCCCGTTGATCTACATAGTAAGAGACGTTACGACAGATCCAACACTCCTTGATTGCCTTGATATTCAGCATGACCAAGCTGTTTGGAGGATATAAAGTCCACAGAATATCCCCAACCACGCGACCTTCCTTGGAGTACTTTTCGTCATCACGGATTATGCTGGACAGGAGGCCGTTCTTCTGGATGAAATCATAAAGCGCCTGGGCGTCACGTCGTAGGTTTGGGTCGGTCGTTGGACTTGTGGCCAATGTCTTAATGTCTTTTCGGTAGAAAAAGAGCTCGGAAAACGGGGTTGACAACTTGATGGGGGTGGATTGAAGATCAGTGGTCTCATAGCAGCTGACAGCAATTTTGCGAAAAGCTTTGCAAAGGGCCTCGGACTGAATTGCGAGTTCTATGCGGACACAAATGGCGGTATTTTGTTTCTGCACCCACGTGCGACGCAGGACAACGGCGTAATCATTATATTGCGTTGTCTTCTTGGGGAGGCCTTTTTGCTTGGGAATGAAGCGGCTAGTGGGAATAATCTCCACCTCTTGACCACCCTGACCATGCTCACGATGGTACTCGACAACATCAGCGAACCCCTTGAGAGGTTTGGGAGCAGCGGGAGGGGGAGCGGAGCTCGGTTCGGGGGCTGGCGTCGAGACATCGGGAGGAGAGGCTGGCTCGAGGTGTTGAGTCTGATTTAGATTCATTGAAGTAAGCTTCCATACGCTGAGTTGGGGGGGAAATAGCTACTCATACCCCGGCTGTCGCTTGGATTTTGCGGCTTCTGTCCTGGGAGCTCGAGAAGTGGGTGGGCAGGACTGACTCGTATTTTGAGAAGGACATGGCTTCCAAGTGTCATTAGTTGGCGATGACGGTCAAGGATAGCGAGGGGCAAGCTACTAATCCAGGAGACTATCAATTTCCTATTTAGAGTGTTGGATAGTTGGTTGTAGTTAGCTGGTGTGTCCTCCACGATTGTGATATAAGAGTGGCTTGTGGCCGCTACTATATGTGCACGGCAAGTGGCCTTAGTCCTCCCATCGATATAGTAGAGTTCTAGTCTTAGCTTGACAAACCGGGCTGTAAATGCGACCGTTCTCAGTAATTTGGTATATGCATGGCTGCCTTACTGCCCGGGCTTGCCGTTGGGCTTTATCATTTCTTCCTTGCCTTCCTTGCCTTACTTGCCTTACTTGCTGACCTTCCTGCAATACTATGTAGGATTCTTGGTTGCCTACCTTATTTCCCGGGCATGCCGATGGCTTGATCATCTTTTATTTGCTGGTCTTCCTGTAAGATCACGTAATATTACGTCGCACTCTGTGTGGTTGTAGCTGAGAAACTTGTTGTCAACGTTTTACTCGCTAGTCTTCCTGCAAGAGCATGCAGGAGGGTTGCCTCACTTTTTCTGCGGCTGAGGCCTGAACCGATCGAGGCCGATTTTTAGTTCGCGAACCATGCCCCTTTGCTCTGAACCTTACCTACTATGCAACTAGAATCTGCCGTCTCCCCTTGGTGTATAGTGCGGCTATTGCCTGCCAAATGGTTTCTACTATTCCCCCCTCCCCAACTATCCATTACACTCAACTCAAGATTCGCTCTCACTCTAATTTCAACTTAGAAATACCAAATCGTTCTATTATTTTATCACTACTAAGTGCTAGAGATGTCCCATCCTCGGCTCCCCCTGCCAGCTACAATGGAGGAACGGCCAAAGAGGATGACGTTGATGAAGTGTTGGCCGGTGCCTTGGAGACCTGGTGGTGATCAAGACGACACATCGACTCCTGTTGAGGACCTTAACGGTTCTAAAAGCCCGCGGGAACCAGTGAATGAAGTCTCCATCACGATCAACGAGGCAGATGTTCTTAAGGAGGTGCATTTGTACAAGAACTTCCAAGTACCATCGGTCGCAGCCGGTATCGAGGTGACCGACCTACAGACATTTTATGATCTCACCGCCTACGGAGTAAGCGAGGACCAACAAGAGCAGCTTTGGGCTGTTGAAGTTTCACGACTTGTTAAGGCTGTCACAGTAGCTACTCCCTTGCCTTTCAACGGCTCAGGAGAGTTGGCCGTCGACTCCAAGAAGTCATATGAAATTATGGCGGCTCTAGCAGACCAATTTTACCAAGTCCTTAACATCGTCTCACTAGATTGTGAAAGCTTCCTGGCAGAGAATGAGAACTTGCTCTGCGAAGAATCTTACTTAGAAAGAAGCCGGGTAAATCTAGGCTACCTCTGCGATCGTGACGAGAATGAGGCTGAAGAGACCGCCGAAAAAACACCATCCACAAATCAGGAAGACTTATTCGAATTCATAAATTATTGCACCGCCGTCTTCGCACGGCTTATCTGCACTGCCACTGAAGGCGAGGTCTTCTATGCTGCTATCCTCGCTCACCTTGCGAAGATTTCCACCAAGATCAAGGTCTTATCCTCAAATCCCAAGGAATATGCCGAAATATCTCTGGAGAATGGGGTGAGTAGCCAGGAAGTCCAGGTGCCTCAAGCTTCCGGTCTGCGCGGACGCCAAGGCGACGCAAACATGGTGGACTCTAACTTGACTCCGGAAGGTGGGTTAAGGGATAACGCCAACGCGAATTTGATTGCTATGGCGGATTTGATGCGCAGTATGAAGGGGCAAATGACAAGGCAGAAACTTGGCCAGCTTGAAACCACGTCGAGGAAAGAAGCTATCAAAAAGCTTTACTTTTTTAGAGAGGCCGCTATCCAACATAACCTCGTCGATTTTCTTTTCTTTCTTCTTGTCTCATTACGAGGAAACAGCAGGATGATGAGAACTACCTTCACCTCGTACGAAATCTGTTCTCTGATATATGAGACAGGTTTGGAGCGGTTCCGAACCCTGGTCTTTCAAGACCAAGACGGTGATTTTCTAGGAACTTCTAAGACGTCCAACCTCAATTATGCCAGAAGTGTTATCCATATGCTGAGCCAGTCTGTCCAACAGATTTCGACCGAAGACGGAAGCCCTGGTAACGCGGGAGCGGCTCAGTATTCTAACATTGATCCTGGTGCTGACGAAGACAAGCCTGTCGAGACTCAGATCTCCTGGAGCTACGTTCCCGGCGATCACGAAAGCGGTAGCCTCCAAGTTCCGAACATAGTCAGGCTGAAGTCCATGAGCCGCGTCATCACCATCATCATCCCGATGATTATATCAAGCCCAGCCTTTGCTGATCGCATGGGAGACTTCATGTCCATGGTGACTGCTACCGACCTGATGCGTGAACGCGAGAAGGAGGGCAAAGTCAAGCCACGGGTGTTCGGCAATTACAGCGCCTTCTTCTCCTTGACAACCTCCGAGTACGCTACGAAGCAGAAAGACCGGGGACCCAGCGAAGCCAAGTCACTCTCTAACGCGCTCATGCGGCGAAACAACCTCTTGAGTGGGAAAGAGATCACCCAAATTGGACGTGTCCCTAGCCTCGCCACCGCAAAGGTGCTGCCTGATCCGACCCCGGCCGAAGACCGGGACAGCAAGTCCATGATGGATCTGGAACGAATTCAGCGCCATCAGACGGAGCTTGATAACGTCAGAGAGAAGATGCGCAAGTGTGTTCTCGAGGAGAAAGGGGTCATGGTGCAATGCAAACTATTTGTCACCCGCCTTATGTTAGTTTGCGCCGCGCTCGTTGCTGGAGGCATTGCCGTTGGTATTACAGTTGGCGAGCGCATCCCTGGTGTAGACCCATTCAATATTACGACATACTGCTGGGTCATGGCCGGTTTTCTCTTGTTAGTCGCCAAGAGTATCCGTGTACGTAACTGGCCATGGAACGACTTTCTTCGCGGACGAGTCCTTTGTACTGCCGTGTCGGAGCTTTCGTCCGTTACTGGCATCGACGAGCAGCTTATCATCGCCTACCTGCTCCAGGACGAGTCTAGTTCCTACCTCCAGACACGCGGTCCGTTCAATGCTGTGTTTAAGCGCCGATCCGATGATGGTTTCTCTATCGACCTTCCCATCACCATGTGGACCATGCTGATGTGCGGCTTGATCATGATTGAAGTTGAATCGGTAGATGGCCGTGGACTGGTTTGCTTAGATCTCCGGGGACGCAGGAACGGTTTTATCAAGAGCCTGGGCACCATTATACCCGATAAGGATGGAGACCAGCATGTTTACTGCCAATCACTGCCGGAAACAAAGCTCCAGGGTGCCCAGAAGGGATCATATAGAGTCAAACTAAATGTTGGTGGCGGAATGGCTTGGAGACGTGCCATTGGATTCTATGGCAACCGGGACGCCGAGTTCGTTTAGGGTTGAAGTATACGGCACATATCTAGGGTATGGACATTCCACTAACCTTTAAGGCTGATCCTGAGGTTTCTTTAAGCTTAAATGTATCAGGTAGCTACATAGCACAGGGTGTAAAACGTTTCAAAGCCAATTAAGACAACACGGATTTGCCCCCCAAACACGCATACACGTATAGGGAGCCCCTTGTAAGAGACAGAGAACCCCCAAAGATAGAAAGTGATTGTTAATTAGTTAGATCGCGTTTGAAATACGATATCGTGTAGTTATCACCTCGAAGATTTAGGTAGTCGATGTATAATATCTATGAGAATGCAGGCGATAAAATTTAGCAACCGTGTTACATAAGAGGGTAGGGTCCGAATTTAATACTTAGTTCCTGCCATAAAGTATTCGTGGGATCAGAAATCGTGGCAGCTTCGACACCTGCTTCATGGTATGTTATAATTTGACTAAAGGGATGAACCCCCCCTTTTCTGTCTCCTTCTACTCTCACATTCTTCCGTAATAGAAAATATAGAGCGAGATCACTTACAAATTATCCCTAGAGGTGTGAGTTGACTAGACTTTGAGATATTCCTCGACTGATAAGATGTACCGTTTCTAGGTCTAGAACCTGAAATGTCTTAAGGTAAGTATTTTAAGATTGATGCCGAGTTCCTTTTTGTCCACTAGCAGCATATATAGAAGAGAAAAAAAGAATAATCGCATGCAAGCCGAGAATCCCTAGGTCCTAGAAGAGAACTCATTTACAGCTTTGGCGAAGAATACACTTCGGTCGTTGTAAGAAGTCCAAATAGAAGTGGCTTGCTGCATCTGGAGACATGCACTTATTCCCCTTGTACGTCTGCGATAGCGTTTCCGTTTGGAGATACGGTGAGGGTTGGGGTTCGGGTTGATATTGAAGTTGGAATTAAATTCGGGTTCATGGCTTCCCCAACTCATGGGACATTTGAAGTATTGGAGAGTACGTCGTAGTCTTCATAAAGATCTTTTGGGAGCACAAGTTCCTGTCTCCCTCTCCCCAAGAGCAAGATTATCTCAAAGAGTAGTATAACCTCCTAACGGATCCAATTTATTCAAAGAGCATAGTAGTCTTTCCTTGGACTGTCATATTTGATATCACCTGCGAAAAGTAGTCGTTTGTCTCTAACAACCACAACTAGGACTTCCTGACATCCACACCCTGAATTCTGCAACTGTCACATACTGCTTTGTAACTCCTATAGATACTATATATAAAGCTTAAGAGTTAATATGTTCCTACATACTGTATATATTCAAAAGGGATATAAATATTTATTTAATCATAGTACAGGCTAGTCAAAAAAGTTCTTGTAAATAGACAAACCTCTGGTAATCGCCGTCTTCTGATACGAAGCAATGGGTGATCCTTGGAACGAACAAATGGGAACTTCGTAGTCGATCCATCCAAGTCCAGACCAAACATACGCAATGTTGAAAGAATAATGATCTTTGTATAGTTTAATCTACATCTGAAGGGATTACACTAGGATAAAAAGCCCACAGGCGAGGAGGATGTTATAATGAGATCAGCTATGTCGATTAGTCCATCGTCGTTTATGCTTTGTCTTCATCGCTACACAGTGTAGGTGTTTCGGGAAGACATATCTTGTTGTTAAAACCTTGCTTGTGAGCAGTACTATTGTATAAAAGAAGATTTGGCCGTATATTTCCATCTAAAACTTGTGTGTTCCCTACCGTCATAATGCCACATATTTCACCTTGGTGAGGGACGGGTAATTCCATGTAAATAACTTCGAAGAAATTGGATTTCAATTTGATGTTGTAATACTGTGATTGTGCTAAATCATTGGTTTGACCCCTCGTCTAGGGTCGTGCTCTCAGGGTTCCTGTGACATGAATAAATGGGAAGTGACAGATCGAGAGTTTCTCAACCTGGCTACTAGTATAGAATTCATCGGCATGCAGAGAGGCCTGCGAGTGGCTATACGCGCCTAGTTTCAGATCCCAAACCAAAATTCCGGCACCCAGGGCCGGTGCTTCCAGACTTATATCGCAAGGGTGGGAAATTACACACGGCGATCAAATAGCAAATCACCTTGAAAAACGGGAATACTTCGCCGGAAGAAGCGAATACGACAAAGATCGAATTCCTTGGTAACACTTGTTGCAGCTGGACAGATAACGCATAGAACTTGGTTAGGATCGAAATTCTGTTGCTCAAGACAATGGTACCACGCATTTTGTGAACCAAACCGAACCGGATGATCTGATATCATCTCAAATTTTGGAAAAAGAAATTTGTTTGTGAACGTCTCAAGGGGCCATACGACTGGATCTCGTAATGTGGCATCATCCTCCTGATGACATTATCAGGACAATGGGAAATCTCTATCCGTTGGTTACGAGGAGTTTCGCTCCGCAACAGCTTGGCACGGAGCGAGGCTCCCTGTAGCCAGCGGATAGTAAGTAACGTAAAGGTTTGGTATGTTTGGCGTTTCCAAGATTCACGGGTATGTGTGCCAAGATCTACCAGAGTGTTCAGGATAAATCGCCAAGATTCACATTGAAGAATTGACGAGATGAGAGAGAGGAGCCATTAAGCGCACCAACCTTGTGACACATCATCGTCACATGCATGGGTTGGCATCTTAGGTTGTCAAGAGGCAAGTTTGAGTTATGAAGAGTTCAAACAGTATTGACGCTCAACCCAGATTGAGTATGCAGGGGTGTGTTACAACAAATTGGACCCCGACGTTCCCGTAACTCAGTGACAGTCAATAACGTGGTTCTGAGGGTTTCTTATTCCACTCAAGGTGCCGAAGTCTGACACAGGCTGGGGTGTCAGTCTGGCAAGCATGGGGCTGCTCCGTTTCAGGTTTTGTTGGGCCTGCAATTTAAGTCCGCCAAGGCTATTTCGCTTCGGTACAGGAACCAGAGGCATGGGACTGCCCACAAAAGACTGGAGGCCATACCTTAAACAGAAGACGGAGGGACGGAGAGAGGTGGGAGGCAGGCCCGGTTTGGCTGATGAGACAGCCAAGGCATCGACCGAGTCTTGGCTTTCCTAAGGTTCCTCAGAGATGATAAAGTAGAATACCAGGAGCATGTCGTGAATCTCTTATTCTTTCCTTCCAAGCTACAGTCCTTCTTTTCTCTCACTTGATTTTGTCGCTCCTACTCCTTCGTTTGGTAGATCACTAGTCATCACCAACCATTCTCAATCATTCAATATGGGCCGGTCCCTCGTTTATCTCACTGCTCTTTTATCTGCCCAGGGCATTTTGGCTGCCCCCCAACGACGCCCTGGAGGTTCCGTTGGTGTTAGCCAGAGCAAAACCAACAGAAAGTGTGGCCCTGGTGCCACATCTGCTTTTGGCACCTCTCCATCTGGCCCCTTTCCCACTGGAGGATTTCCTGGCGAAATCGATACCCCTTCGGGCGGGTTTGGAACTCCCACGAGTGGGTTTGATCGGCCAACTGGAGGTTCAAGCGTTATTGCCACTCCAACCGTCCGACCTAGCGCAAGCTCCTCGATCGACGACACTCCCACGTCGCTTCCCAGCGGTTTTATCACGGTCTCCGGCGATGGTGAAGCTGCATCTTCAACATCCAGCCGTGCTGGAAGTGCTGTGACAAGCGCCCCAGCTGGTGTTACAGACGGAGCCGCCAGCTCGATCGCAACCCCCTCATCCTCGGTTGCTGCTACGCCTTCAGGTACAGCCGAAGGCGAATACGTGGCCAACCCTTCTATCGGTGCTGGCGGTAGCAGCTTCACCGACTCTGACCACTTCCGTGTCTACAATGGCGGCGCGAACGCTGATGCCGCTCTGCAGATGCTTGAGGGTGCTTTTGATTGCTTCATCAACACTCTTGGATTCCGCTCCACTGGACTCTCTTACAACGATGCCAGCGATAGTGGCACCAAGACCAAGGTTAACATCTACTCCGTCTCCGCTCTCGAAGGTGCTGCTGGTGTGATGCATTCTGATGCCTCGACTGGCATGGCCTATCTCGAAGTTGTTGACACGTACTTGTCCATGCCCGGTGTCACCGTCCACGAGTTTGGTCACGGCATTCACTACCACCAGAAGACCTGGGTCGGCCAGACCAACACAGGTGCCTGGTGGGAGACTTTTGCCAACTGGATTGCCGAGACCTACAAGAGCCACGACCTCTGCGCCGCCTCGCGTGAGAAGTTTGGCCAGGAGACCAGTGCCTCAGAAATTGAGCTCTCCAAAACCATCAGCGACTCTTACCAGGTCATCGTCGACGGCAGCTCCGGTAGCGGCAACTACTACCAGGCCTGGCCCTTCTTCACCTACCTCACGAGCAACCCCGACAACATCGAAGGTCTTGGCTCAGACACCCTGCGCCAGATGAACCTCCAGTACAAGGAGAACAGCGACGAGACGCCCCTTCACGTTCTCGCCCGCGTTGCCACCGGCGCTGGCCTCGACTACGTAGTCGGAATGTATTGGGCACACATGGCCTACGTTGACATTGGTATGGAGTCTGCCCATACCGCCTTCACCAGCCAGCGCAAGTCTCTGAACTACGACAACGTCGACTCCTCCGGCTCCGGCTCCTACAAGGTTAAGTCCGCTCGCGCCCCCCAGTACATGGGCGCCAACATCATCCCCCTCACCGCCAGCGCGTCCACCGTGAGCGTTGAGATCACCGCCGCCTCTCACTACACCGCCACCTTCGCCGTCTACGCCTCCGATGGCAGCACCCGCTACGTGGACATTAAGAACAACACCGGCTCCGTTGAGGTTGCCAGTGGCGAGGAGGTCAGCCTTGTCGTTGCCAACACGCCCGAGGAGGCCATCACGTACAACGGATTTGAGCTGACCAGCGAGGTGAAGGCGGGTCTGGACTACTCCTTCACCTTGACTGGTGCTACTGTCACCTCTGCTTAGGTGCACCCGGGGAATTCTGCTCGGTTCTTGCATATTTTGTGACTTATACATGCTTCATCTGAGGGGAACTTACTGTTAGATAGCGCAATTGGTTGACTGCTGGCTGCAATAACAGATTTGAGGATCTTAAAAAAATTTATGAACAATTTACAAAGAAAATGATAAATACATTCAATCAGCTTGGCTTAGAAACGCTTCCTTCCTCATGAAAGATGACTCTAACAAAGTCGCTATTGTCAAAGAAATCGTAAATATCAATCCATCACGTACAGGCGCGACTGCCAAAGTGGAATTCTGAGTTTGGGAGCAGTGAGATGGATCATAGCCGGAGCATTGCAATTAGCGATCATTTACATCACAGGTCCAGTCTAAGAATCAGTGGGGATAACCGGATTTGAAAGAATCGTCATTTGCTCAATATATATATGTCTAGGTCATAATTAACAGTAGTCGAAATGCCATTTCCGAAAGCCCCCAATGCCCAACGCATACCAACACAGTTTTACTCAGTCGTGAACCACTCATACACCCTCATTATTTATTTTGGCACAGCAATATTCAGTCCCTGGGCTAGGCCGAGAAGGATCTCGTACAGAGCCCAGGCACCAGGGTCTGGCAGCTCTTGGCCGGAAGCCTCACCGACGTAGCTTGCACGGCCTAGGCGGGGCTTCAGATAGCGGGTGGCCTCGGCCTTGTCAGCAGCGACCTTGACAGCGGCTCCAAAGTTACCGTCCTTGGCGAAGGCGTCAGTGAAAGGGATCAGGACGTCCATCACTGTGCGGTCGCCCTCCCTGGCAGGTGTATGTGACTTGAGGGACTCCACGGCACTGGCCAGAGCACTGGCGTAGAGCTTTGATGAAGGGGCGGTTCCGGGAGCCTCCGTGGCGTACTCGGCGCGGAGGGCGGAAGTGAAGGCGGAAAGAAGAATACCGAAGATGGCACCGAGAGTGCCACCCATATCGTCGACAGACTCGGTTGTGGAAGTGAGGAAGGAGAGAACCTTGCCGTTGGATGCAGAGCCCTTGTCGAGGTTCTTGATCAGAGACTCGCAGAGACCCTTGACGGCCTCGCCGCAGTCACCATCACCCATAACCATATCCCACTCAGTGAGCTTGGGCTCAGCAAGAATGGCAGTCTCGCAACTCTTGCGCACGGCGCCCTCTAGTACCTTGCCATCTACCACGATGCTGTTAGTCTCAGCCTCCTCCTCCTCGGAGATGTTGGCGGCGCTGTCAGCGCTGACTGTCCTCGTGGCATCGGCGCCAGGTCGTGCCACGTTGGGCCAAGAGACGGCCGTTGTAGAGCTGTCGTACAGCTTCAGAAGCTCGTCGGTAGATACTGAGCACTCCTTGGCGACGTTAGAGACGTTGATAAGTGAGACGGAGAATCCAGGAGCGTTCAGAGATGTCTCGAAAGCTCCAACTAGAGTGCGGCTGGGCTTGATGTTGTACGTGGAGGCGAGCTGGACTTGGACCTCGTCTGTGAGAGCTCCAAGCTCGAGAGGGGACAGGCCGCCGTAGTTGTTGATGCAAAGCATGACGTTGTCGCCAGTCTCGAACTTTACAAACGCCCTCTCGGTGTCGTTGGGGTCAGCGAGAAGCTCCAGGAGGCGCTCAATGAGGTCCTGAACGGAGGGGAAGGGGGAGATCATCTGCTGAGCGGGCTCGTTATGGATACCAGAGCCGACGGCACAAACATCAGCAGGGATAGACTGAAACTGTCGACCAGGAACGTGGCAGTGATCGAGGGCGGAACCGATGGACACAGTAGCGTCATTGAGCGAATAGCCAAGCTTCAGGCAACGATCGTAGGACCACTTCTCTGCTGCTGCGGCACCGAGGATCTTCATAGCTAAGTAAACAGGTTAGCTCTGCTGGAGATTGCTAGCTTCACCAAATTGCGAATATAGCACCTAGATGGTCGTTGGATCTTACTTACTGAAGACGTGGCCAGGCATTCCTCGCCTGCCGACACGGCTGCTTCTGCTACGACCGATGGAAACATCGTCTGTGGCGTAAACAATGGCGACGTTGTCGGTAAGACCAGAGGCCTTGGCTCTCTCAGCAGCCAGACCGAAATGTAGCCGATCACCAGTGTAATTTGTGATGAGGAGAATTGTACCCTTCTTGGAGGGCGCAAGGTTCATAGCACGGAGAACCTGCTTTGTGCTGGGTGAGGCGAAGATATCACCGCAAGCGACGGCGGAGAGAAGACCTTCACCAACGAAGCCACTCCAGGCGGGTTCATGGCCGGACCCACCACCACCAATGATGCTCACGCACTCCTCATCATTGTAAGCACTGGCGACGACACGCTCGGGCTCGTCAAGAACGAGATGAGGGTTGGCCGAAACAAGAGCTCGGAGCGCCCGAGGGACGAGTGTGTTCGCCGCAGTATCGGGGAAGTAATGCTTGGTCGAGGCCATGTCGCCGTTCTGCAGCTATTCTCAAGAAGGGAGAATAAAAATACAACACGTTCTATAAACGACGAGCGACTCTACAGCTAATGAAAAATATCAGAAGGCAAGCTGGTAGACAAACGGTCAACTCAAGGTGGCGAGATTTGTAAGAAGGCGCTTTAACTAAGAGGCAGGCGATCGATGCAGCTCTCCCGGACTGTGGGATGGTTGCTTTGCTTTGCTTTGCGCGGTCACACGCTCTCTGCGCGCGCGTCGAGTAGCAAATGGAGACCGACCAGATGCTCGAAGCGAAGTCACGACTATAGTCATGTCCGAGGAGCTTGATCTAGATGGCACCTTAACTTTCCTTTCGCTGGCGGGGGCCGCTCTGGCATGACATTTATTGGTGGGGGTACTATCCCACCGTAGGGGTGACCATTTCCGAGCAAATTATCCCCGCACCTTGACCTGCATTCGCGTGCTACCACACCTACGGCCCTAAGCAAGCCGAGACGAGGGGATCTGTTCTTCTGGGGATGTAGGTGGAGAGGGTGAAGCCAATGCCAGACCAATGCGAGGTCACCATCAGGGAGCTTGACGGTTAGCTGACGGGCACCTTGGCAGTGCTTGTCTCACCAAAACAGCCAGCAAAAAAAGGAGAAACGTGCCGGCGTTGCACTGGAAGCTCGAGGTGTCGATGAGCTCGCTCCACAGAATTGCTCTCGAACTACGTGCCGGAGAAATGGGTGGTACAGGCAACCTGAAGAATGGTCAACAGTGTACGCCGACTTCTATCAAACAACTAAGACAATATGAAACGGAATATCAGCACAGTAAACACAATACGGAACCGAATATCAGGGTACTGTACCTACCTATTGTCTGTTGCGGCCATGTTTTCCGGTTGCAGAGTATCAATTGGTCTGTTGGGCAGGTCACGGGACTGGGGATTCCTGGAGGCTCCGCAAATTGCGATGAAAAGCCATTGGCCAATCACAACGCACAACGAGATGAGTGCGGCTAGGAGGTAGTTGGCAAGAGCCCCCCTCAAGCTCCTTCCTGCCTTCCTGCCTTCCTGCCTTCCAGTGGAAAAGCAGGGCAAATCACGAGGTTGGTGGGCAAGGCATAGCGCGACTCTGCAAATTCGATACTGGCGCTCTTCAAGCAGTCGACTTTCACCTTCGGCTGCTGTTGGCACATCCAATCATCCAATCCCCTGTCGCCCTGGTAGTGTTCAGGATCCTACAGCAATCCACGAGACGCGCTCGCTCTGGAAATTTCGCCGGTTTTCCAGTCACGGGGTAAGTAGAAGGGTAGAGGTACGTTCCTAGGTACTTTTTTTCGGCTCGAACAGCCATCCCCTCCTCCACGCATTTTACCTCCACACCCACTACCCCTGTTAGAAATGTAAGTTTCTTGAGCATCTGAGTGTACCGTCTCGCGCTCACATACCCTAGTTCAAAAAATCTAAAAAATCCACAACCAGTAGCGATGATTCGAGCCTCTGCCCAAGCAGAGAACACTGGTAATGGTAGTGCACCGCGCCAGAAGAAGCCCCGAAAATCGCGGGGAAGGGGCCTTCGTACTACCACTGGATGTCTCACATGCCGACAGAGGCATAAGAAGTGCGATGAAGTGAGACCCGTCTGCGGACCTTGCACTATCTCCTCGAGGTCCTGCGTCTGGCCTAAAGATGAGGAGTCTCACCCTCCTCGGCAACCGGAACCACAGCCTCCCGGCCCCCAGATTATCCCTCCACCCGTGAACAATGGGCATGGTGGTCTGGTGAATCAGGTGACACCGTCAACTGCCTCGTCGGTGTCTCCAGCGGCGGCTTCTCAATCCACGGCCTCGTTGATTCAACAACCGCTTGGTAACTCGCCTCATGTGCCACAGCAACCGCTTGTCGCCGACCCCGGGAGGACTACAGCCCAGCAACATCCGTCGCCGGCTGGAGTTGCTCTACAGTCTCCCATGAAGATTGGCTATTCGCCGGATACCGTGTCCTCGGAGCTATGGACCGCCGACTTTGCTTCAACACGCTGGCTCGACCTGCTCACTAATGATGCCGCCCAAGCCGACAGTGGGTTCTCTCTCTCGGGGGCTCCGAGTCCAACCCCGGGGGATGATGGTGAGCGTGGGAATGGGGCCGGAGCCAAAACACACACACTAGCCTCAGTGCAGGCGGCCCCGGCCCTCCCCATCAATAGTCACATTCGGCCGCCTGATGACCCAACAGCCTCTGAACTAGAACGCAAGACGTGGCAAGCAGACGTAGATGTCACGCTTACCAGCCAGGAAGCAGGTCTCCTTCGACACTTCGCTGACAGGTGCGCCCGGTGGCTGGACCTGTTTGACTCTCAAAAGCTATTTTCAACCTACGCCGTCCGACTCGCCCTTCGGAATCCCGGGTTGATGAAGGCGATCCTGGCTCTTGCAGCAAAACATCGATCAAGATCGCAGGGAGTGACCCTCGGCTATGACGCCAGCGGATCGGTCATACAGAATGTGGCCGAGAGTTCTGAAGATAGCGAGGGGGTCCGTTACTATTACGAGACTCTACATTATGTCCAGGAGGCACTTGCTTACAACAGTTACACCCACTCCGAGGAACTTCTTGCCACGGCGATCGTGATCTCAGCTTATGAGATGCTAGATGAGTCTGACGGTTCTGGTAACTGGCAGCGGCATCTCAAGGGTGTATTTTGGATACAGCGTTCGCAGGACGTCAATGGTGGATCTGGGGGGATCCGCCAAGCCGTATGGTGGGCGTGGCTTCGGCAGGATATCTGGGCTGCCTTCCGGGAAAGGAGAGCATGTCTTAGTTTTTGGAAGCCCGTGAAGGATCTCCGCGAGTTGGATCAGCATGGACTGGCTGATCGGGCCATCTATCTCTTGTCCCAGGCTGTGAACTACTGTGCTGAGTCTCGCCGGGCCGAGGCGACGTCAACTATTGACCCTTCGGCTTCTATTAAGCGGAAGATCGCAAGGGACGAGCTCGTGACCAAGATGGAACGATGGAAGTCGTTCCTTGGGAAAGAATACAAGCCGCTCCCAACACCATCAAGCCCGACTGATGTCTTCACTCCTCTCTGGGTACATCCTCCCCATTTCGGAGTCGCCCTACAGGCCTATAGCTTCGCGCAGATTCTCGTCACGTTACATAGCCCGAATCTGGCCGGATTTAATGGATATTTGAAAATGCAGCGAACGCTCGCCGAGGCGGTCGAGACAATATGCGGCATCGCAATGGAGCTGAAAGAGGAGGGGTGTCAGATTCTTTCGGCGCAGTGCCTTTTTGGCGCTGGCTTGTGCGTGCAGGACCATTCCAAGAGGGAGGTCATCATGACATTGATGCAGGCCTGTGAAGCCAGGGTGGGCTGGGCCCCCATGGCCACCTGGAGGGATGATCTGAGGCTCGAATGGGCCAAAGCCGATAGCGAGTCTGCATAGCCGTGTTAGTATCACAAAGTCAGGGACCGGCCTTTCGTCTGGGAGCATGGCCTGGCAAAGCGCCGCCGTATGACCAACGTCGACTAAACCCTGCGCAAGCATGTATGGTGGCGTCGACCACCTCCACCGACCCAGGCGTAGTGGTCCAAAACCGTCAGAGGGTGGCATGAGAAGCATCAAATGAAGCTGCAGAGCTTGTAATTGATGATACCAGGCCGTCGGCGCAATAGTATCACCATGTCCGCAATCGACGGGGTTGTTCACGGCGAACACAACAGGCATCCGTCCCTGTATGTTTGATTGCAATAGCAATACACAGGACAAGAACAGACCGTAAAGCAAACGCGGTACTCATTTTGCCTACTCGAGAGCCACGAGATCCCAGAGTGGGAGAACCTCTTGACAGAAGACACTAAGCAATAAATGCTGGCGTAAAGCTAGCGCTGGATCTTGACGAGGAACCCACCATAGAAGAGTGCGTTCACTCTTCCAACCCCAGAGGACAATGAAGCCGTGCATAGTGACCTGAGGATTGGGAGGATGCCCAGGAGCTGACAATCATAGGATCATGCAGGGCAAATGTCATCTTATTATCTGAGGGAGGGAAATGTGTGCCCTTGCCTGTGCGGTCTCACACCATTGCACCTGGCAGCAGAAGCAGAAGCCACCCGCGAAGAACCTCAGACGGCCCAGACGGGACTTCCTTCGGTTTAAAATCGGAACCAGGCACCGTGTGAAGAGGAGGAACAGAGTTTCAAGACTCCGGCGAGGCTTGCTGGAGTTATTCCTCTTTATCATCACCAATGACCCTCCTCGCCTTAATACTGAGCAAACGAATGAAATCAATCGCTCTATTTTCCAATTCTATATTCTACCTATGTGATTTGAACCCATTTAGTTACCCTTGGCCTTCTCGTAGTCCTCAATGATCTTCACCTTGGCGGCGGAGCCGGAGGTCTGCAATGCGTTAGTTATGGCCCTTTCCAAGAAAAAAAAACGGCAAGACTTACAGTATCGAAGTGATAGCCGAGCCACTCCTTGACGAGTCTCCTGGCCAGCTCAATGCCGATAACACGCTGTCCAAGGCACAGAACCTGGCAGTTGTTGCTCAGAACGGAGCGCTCGACGGAGAAGCTATCGTGGGCGGTGACGGCACGGACACCGTCGACCTTGTTGGCAGCAATGGCGACACCAAGACCGGTACCGCAGATGAGAATGGCACGGTCGACCTCACCCTTGGCGACGGCCTCGGCAGCGCGGATGGCGTAGGTAGAGTAGGCGGTCTTGTCGGAGTCGGCGTTGGGGCCGACGTCGATGACAGAGGCGACGCGGGGGTCGGCGGCCAGGTCCTTGGCGATGGTGGCCTTGTAGGAGAAGCCGGCTTCGTCGCCGCCGAGAGCAATGCGGAGTCCAGACATGATGGCGGTGATGTGATTTGATGTGAGGGAAGCTGGTTTCAATGAGATGAGAAGTTTTTGGTGGTTGCTGTTCTGAAATGCGTATTTGCGGGGTGCTGTGAGGGGGGAATTACGTAGAGGTGGGTTGATGTCCAGAAAAAAGGGCCAATGAGTTCACGGAGCAGGAAAGGGAAAGTGAAATCGAGCAAAGAGTACAGAATTTCGATACCCGAGGTTAAGAAATACTCTGAGAGGGATATGGCAAATGCATCTAGATCAATCTCGCCTACAAGGCCTGTAGTCATCTTCTTCGGAGGCGAGATTCGCTGTGTCGTGAATACCCTCTTCGCACCCGGTGTGACCCACGTTTCATCACGGACGGCCACGGAGAGCTGCCGGCCCCCACCGACTGTAGAGAATTAGCCTGGCACATGTCTCGAGGCGAGGTATTAGTTACATTTTGATTTTTAGTGCCTATCTCCACTCCCTCGTTTCGTGGTGGCCCGGAAATATGTCGATTTTCCTGGGATGGCCGACAGCGTGGGGAGAGCTTGTAGGAGCTCGCTGATCTGGGCAAGACGAGAGACTTTCTTTCGCCTACCAGTTCGCTTGTTCGCCGTGGTTCGATGATCCTGGAAGTACGGATATTCCTTGGTTAGTTGGCTTGTCCACTCATACCTCCTTCATTACGAACTACATCTGCACTTCGACCTGGATCCCATATTTATACACGTCCACTCTCTTCTTTTGTAATTCGACAACACCCGAAAACAGTCAGTTAAAACTCCAGAAAAATCCGGCATCATGGCTCCTTGGGACCCCACCAACAACAAGACCTACCAGATCCTCAAGGCATCTGAGGAGGGTGGTTATGGTATCGTCGCGCCCATCGCCTACAACATTGAGCACATCCTCGCCTTTGTCCGCGCCGCCGAGGCCAAGCGCAGCCCGCTCATCATCCAGGTCTTCCCCTGGGCAATCACATTCTCTGATGGCCTGCTGATCCACGCCGCCGCCAAGGCTGCTTCTCAAGCCTCCGTGCCCGTCGCCATCCACCTGGACCATGCCCAGAACGAGGAGATGATCCGCCTGGCTGCTGACACCCTCCCCTTCGACAGCATCATGGTCGACATGAGCCACTATGAGATGGACGAGAACCTGGCCAAGACCAAGACCCTCGTCCAGTACTGCCACGACCGGGGTATCGCCACCGAGGCCGAGCCTGGCCGTATCGAAGGCGGAGAGGACGGCATTGCCGATACCGCCGACCTCGAGGGTGCTCTCACCACCGAGGAGCAGGTCGAGGACTTCATCGCCACTGGCATTGACTTCCTGGCCCCCGCCTTTGGCAACGTCCACGGCGAGTACGGCAAGCGTGGCCCTGTATTAGAGTTTGACCGGTAAGCTCAATACCCAAACCTGCGACACTTGGCGCCTTTGCATGATGAGAGAGAGGAAACTAATGGACATCCAGATTGGACATGATTCGGGAGAAGGCCGCTGGGCGTGTCCGCATCGTCCTCCACGGCACCAACGACTTCCCCGAGGACATCATGAAGAGGTGCATCAAGGGCGGCGTGTCCAAGGTCAACGTCAACAAGCTTGTCCTGGACGACTACCTGGTCCACCTCCAGACCAAGGCGTCCACGCTGAGCCTGACCACGCTGATGGAGGAGGGTGTGAAGGAGGCGCAGAAGCTCATGGAGTGGCAGATGGACGTGTGCGGGTCTACTGGCAAGGCGGCATAGATTGTTTTTATAAAACGGAAAAGCGGCTACGAATTGAAAGCGTTGTATTTTTTTTTTTAATCTGGCAATGAATTATGGATAAATACATCTATGAAGTACTTTTTGTTGGAGCGTGACTGGTAACCTGTGAGCGGAGCGTGTAATCCTTTTCCTTTTTTTTTTTTTTTTTTTTTTTTTTGTAAGAATTTACTTTCGTACGTTTGAAAGAGATAACGCAAGTGTTTTGTTGTAGGGAACATGGAAAGTGACGAAGCAGTTGGATTGCCAAATATGACGAGATGTGACCAGTTGGCTACTGTATACACTTGGGCGCATAGACTTGGGCTGGTGTGTATAGACTTGGGCTGGCTTACATTTGGGCTGGCCTTACATTTGGGCTGGCCTTACATTTGGGCACGTGCCTTACATTTGGGCTCTTACCTTTGGGCTCTTACATTTGGGCTGGCTTACATTTGGGCTGGCTTACATTTGGGCTGGCTTACATTTGGGCTGGCTTACATTTGGGCTGGCCTTACATTTGGGCTGGCGGGCACAGGCACATGCCGATTGAATCAAGCACTACAAATGCTTTTGAAATACATCACTGGAACATGAAACTGTAGATGTGAATAGATTTATGGCACTGCAACTGTGTGGATTCGCTCTCTTTAAACCAATATTATTGCATGTCATTTACAAGGCCAATCCAATCATTCAATGCCTTCGGGTCGATTGATCGATTCCATCTCTGCTGCCATTTCACTCCCGCCCTGATAATTGGACGACGCAACCGTAGCCGGTGCCGTGGTGACTGGCTAGCTGGTTGCCGCAGAGCCACCCAGGCCGCCTAAAATAGACGACTCGATCGTACCTGGTCCCGTGGTGTTGCCTTGAGCTTCCGTTATGGAGGTCAGGCCACCGGGCGTAGATCCAGTCATGTTCATGTCCTGACCTTCTTGCCGTGGTTCTAAGGGTTCCAAGTCGAAACGACGATCAAGCTCATCCCTTCCCATTGAAGGGTCTGGCTTGATTATGGTGTCGTCATCGATGATTTCATACGAATTCCTATCATGTTTGGCAAATGCTTCTGAATCCCATGGTAGCTTTTTTGGGTCATGTTTGCTTTGACGATCATGGACAGGCATCATTCGCACGCTGACCTTGCCACTTTTCGATTCTTTCTGCAGAGCCCTTCCGATGGTGGCCACATCTCTGAGCTTCGGGTCATCTGTTACCATATCGTATACGGCCTAGCCAGTGGCTACGTCTCGTGTCATTGTGTACATAGATGTTCGACTGTGCCCCACCGCCAAAACTGTTGTTGATGGCATAAAGGTTGGAGGTGCCATCACTTGTGGTTTGGCTATAAATGCCGATGCGATCTACAGGCCTAGATCGACTGACCTCCGATGAGTGTGGTACTTGTCGCCGTATGAGTAGAAGAGCTTCGCTCTCGTGTCTCTGGCCTTGAAAAGGTAGATTCCTCACGGCGTCGAGATGGTGTTGCTCCTCAACGTTGATTCCCTTGTGGGCGCGGCGACCTTGATCGATAACGTCGATGCTCATGTCGAGACGGCGACCTTGATCGGTTGCGCCGACGCTCATGTCGAGACGGCGACCTTGATCGGTTGCGCCGATACTCATATCGAGATGGCGACCTTGATCGGTTACGCCGATGCTCATATCGAGATGGAGAGCGGTGGTATCGAGACTCTGTAGAGTGTCTTCCATGTGACCGTCCCTGAGATGAACGAGGCGATGTACGTCGATCGCGGATCTCAAATTCCTCGTCAACTTCGCTCTCACTGTCTGTGAGAGGTCTTTGGCGATTACTTGCTCTGTTTGCTGGCTTCTTGGGCAGAGTTGCGCGGGTGGTATACCACTGCGTCAACTGTTCTTCCTCCAAGAACTCCTGGACTTTCTCCTGCGTTGAAAGCCTCAGGGCATTTGACAGCATGGAATCTGTCGAGGAGCTGTCCTTTGGGGTTTCGTCCTCGCAGGATAGTCCGATCTTCCGCCTCCATGCTTGGAGAATAGGCGAAGGTGGTTCAGCTGGGTCCCTTGGGGGCATTGGCCATGGGAATGCTGGCGCGGCTTGACCCTGTGGTAGGTACACCGCGACTGGATATTAAAACATCATTGGTCAGTAAAGTATTCACAGGTTGAGTGATTGGGTGTTCTATGTGAAACTTACACATCCAGTCCCAGACTGTCCTGTCAAACCTCATGCTAAGGAGGCTGGATGGGGTCCTATGGTGCCTCTCTTCGATACAAAAGTTGAGAATTGACCATACAGACTTTGATCGATAGCTCCCAATGGTCTCAGAGTCGACCGGAAGTACGAACATCAGGAACGAATCCATGTACAGTTGGCGATACACTTCGATCAGCCCATCGGGCATTGTGCCCTTGAGCTCGAATACATATTCTTCTCCCCGTAGGGATACCATCTGTAGATGGTCTGGTGGGCTAGTCATTTTTGATTTACCCATACAATAAAGAAGTTGAAATGAGGAGAATTGCGTATGTATTGAGGTAGAGAGAGAGAGAGAGAGAGAGTGTGTGTGTGTGTGTGTGTGTGTGTGCGTGTGTTTGTGTGTGTGTTTGTGTGTGTTTGTGTGTGTGTTGATTTTTTTGGAAGCGAGGATTTTTGGAGAAGAGAGAAGTGGGCCAGGCTACTGGAGGGGAAAATTTCCGTGTTTTAGAAAGTGAGAAACTACTGACGACTTGAGGGTACATGGCTGTTCACGCTGAGGAAATGGTGAGCTGATAGCACCTCAGCCATGTGTAGCCAGTAGTTTGCGGACCCAAGCTGAGAACATTGTGAACTGGTGGTCTGTGCGTCCTGTACGTACCTACTTACCTGAGTATTGCTAAGTGAGGTGTTGTTATTGTTTTCATTTCTCGTAGCCTACACCTCCACCACATCACCTCCTCCACCCATATCAACAGCAACAATACAAGCCGAGGAAATATGGCAGGAGAATCAAACACAAACCAGTCAGGTAGCCATGGAAATGGCAATGTACAACACGGTAGCCACCAAGGTGGTAACTCGGAAAGGCACCGTAGCTCGCGAGTTGCTCGTCAGGAACACCCCGCCTCAAGAGACAGAGTTGAAGAGGACAGTCTTTCGGGGATGGTTGTCGATCACATCACACCATATGGATGGAAGAGCGATCCGATGACTTGCCCAAGAAGAAAAGCGAAAACATACAATTTGTCAAGGAAACCGTACACGGTGGCGGGGAATATGGCCGCGAATATACTGATCGAGGTGCTGTGTCACCTCGGAAAAATTCAAACACCAGGCACACAATCGTCGAATGATTTCTTTGTGTTGGCAAGAAACCTGGAGGAGAGGAATCCTCTTCTCCGGTACTTACGGTTGCCATCGAAGGAACTTCCTTCCGAAGATGAGATAACCCGGCTTCTGTGCCCAGATTCAGGACTGGCTGGCAAATCAATTCTGGATCTGATCCAGTGCGACCTCATGAATTCAACGTTGTGGACTTTGCCGCACTTCCACTTATTAACAAGCCCGTTGAGCATGGCTAATGCCCCCCGCGGAGGCTTGTATTTGATCGACAGTCCTGAACGGAAGAAACAACAAATTGAATCAACCACAACGCCCTTCATCGAATGGGACTGTAGCAAGGGGCTGGAAGATGTTATTGAGGCACAGTTGGCACCAAACGTCGCTTCGGGACGCACTACGGCCTGCATTGGGAATCGGCCTTGGACAATTCACGTCACCGTGAAAGAGGCCAGTGTGGACATCACTCCCCCAAGACAGTTTGAAATGTGGATTGGAGGCTTCACTGGAACGGGAGTCTTCTTTCGCAAATGCTACCGCCAGCATTATATGCTTGTCGGAGTGATTATAGTCAGCTGCGACGGCACGCACTCGACATTGCTATACTCCCCGCCGGGAATCAATATGGATACGGATTACGCCCCAAGGGACCTATCTCTGGCGAGTCTACGCAAGGGGGACTCCTGTCTGCTGATATATGCTCGATCCCCTCTATCAATCACGAAGGATTCTGTGGAAGAATGCGACGGAGTGTCTACACCACGGATTAGCGATGAACTACGTGCTAGACTTGCCGCTCTCAAGGCCGCCGGGCGCGACGACTCTTCGAGAAGACCCGCCGCAAGCGCGCCAAACGCAGGGTCACGGAACCATAAACGGAAGTCATGGAATGGCCCGGGACACAATGGGGGCTACAAAGGCCCAAGGAGGTCCCAAGATTGGAACCAATGAGAGCCTTGTGAACCTGTGTTTCTTGTCTACTTCCATTTTCATAAGCGAAGTAATAAGGGAGAGAGAGGAAACTGTAATTCAATGCAACATAACAATAAGTCAAAAAGATATCAAGTATAGCATCATTATTAAGTTGGTTTAAACTGTAGCTATATAGTGCTTAGATCCCGCTCTGCAAATAGCAGGTTGCAAACTTCCATCTCCCTGCCACGCGAATACATTCGGCGGACGTCATATTCTAACAAACAAGTCCATCAAGCAATGGCTCGTCTTTGCCATGATGTAAGTCGTGCCATGAGAGGACAATTTGGAGTGGGATCGAGATCCATTCGTCGATGTAGAAAGTCGACGAATCAAGTACCGGAATACTGAGTGCGATTCCAAACATGTCCAGACTTTCGGGTGGAAGATCTCTTGCAATATTCGCCGCCATATCTCCCATATACTTGTGGCGAAACTCAAGGGTTGTTTGGCTTCTAATTCCAAGGACAGAGCTCGGTGTGGTACGGGGCCTTGATAATACAACCTCAAGAATATGTCCGTCGAGCACATGTCTCTGAACACCACGTAGCGTGTTCTCAATACCCAGCACAGACCAGTGCCTTCCAGGACGACGCGTCTCACCTGTTGCGCTGCTTACTACTTTGTTGATAGGACGTATCAAGCGGTCAAGTCTAAGGTAAGCGTCGCATGGTATTTCTATCGGACGCTCTTGGTTACCGACATGAACGATGGACTTGAAGAGCTTGGGCAGTTCCACATCGTCGTAATACAGGCCCAACTCCCCATCCACCCACACTACCTTGTGCATCAGCGCGAGCTTAAGCCACAGTGTTCCTGTTTTGGCGAGCTTTCGGAATGGTCCCGTGCACATTTTCAAAAGTGTCTCGAGACCGCCATCTGTTTGAGTTACCTTCACAATTTGCTCGGTCAAAATCAGCTCTTCGAGTCCTAGCTTGAGTATGCAAGCGACGAGGATAGTGAGAATCCGAGTATCCTGATCACTGCTGAGCGACTTATAAACCATCAATGCCAGCTTATGGTCGTACTCAAAAGCCATCATGAGACGTAAGAAGAGCATTTGAGACTGCTGTTCATTCTTTGCCAGTTCTTCAAGTCGTAACCGCATGGGTTCAGATTCAGTCCCAGGCGACTCGTTTAATATCCCTTGATACCTTAGACTTTTGACCGTCGCAACCCTTGCATTGGTGCGTAATCCCATCATATTGATGACAGTAGGTGCGTGGATGCCGAAGATCGCATCAAGCGCAACGACGGCGCAGAAGAAACCTGCCATCTTATCATTTTCGATTTTCACGAGACGTTTCTCAAACACTCGTTTCGGAAACAATACTTTCCGGACGCGATCATCCATTATGAAGCTTCTCCAGTTGTCGTGTAGCATCAGAGGGTCTTTTCCAGTGATAATGACTGTTACCTTCGTGTCGCTGCGACGAACCCACGATAATTGGTCTAGTTGTTCCTCTGGACACGGTACCTTTGGCACGATCGCTGTGGTGTGATTTAGATCCCAGTCAAGGAACCTACTCATCTGCTGAGTGCCCAGGATGGTGATTGTGCTCCAGTCAGACATGCTGTCAATCGTCTTCATCATGAGGTTCGAGCTTCCATTCATCGAAATTAAGACAAATACCAGTTTGGGACCGTTTTCTGTCTGTGGGAGTTTGGTCTGTTCGAGTTTTCTCACTTTTCCTTTCACAATTGAGGCTGCCTGGTGCCGGTCTTCTTCCTCTTCCAAATAAGTTTCAACTTCGATTGCTGGTTCATGGTCGTCTGGCCAACCAAGTCCCTCAAGTCGATCCCATGGCTCGAAGCATATAACCAAAAGACGATCAGTATGGTCCTTGAGGATAAGCTCTTCAACTAGACTTGCTATATTCTCTGTCCCATTTTTGGTTTTAACCTTTCTGACGCTAATCGTTCCGCTGGACGACAGTTCCAGCGTCTTGAGCGACGTGTCCCCGAGTGTACCATGACGAGACCAACGCAGTGTATATGTGGTATACCATGGGAAGCACCAGTGCCTTAATTCCAGATCCCGCGGCAGAAAAAGACTTTCAATCCGCGGATCGAACATCTCGTTTGAAATCGTAGCAATTTGCATCCTCCATTTGGAGTTGAAGTGCGCAGCTAGATCGCCAGCTTGTTGGTTTTGTTTTTGCTCGGTGTGTGAGTGACAAATTTAGGAAGAAGCTGGCAATGCTGGCAGCAACAACATTTGTGCCGAAATTGTGGGTGACCACATACAAGGTACCTACCTACTGACGTGCTCGGTACCCATTTAGGATTGGCTCTCCATCTCTCTCATGTTCAATGTACAAGCGGAGAACCCATTCAGCCTCGCGAAACCATATTAATAGACAATTCATATGAGTTGATGGCCCAAACTTCTCGATATAGCGTCAAATCCCACACTCCTTATGTGGGCTTATTTGACTGGAACTATCTCGTCCTTGCCGTCACGGAACAGGCTTCGGGTACGAATGGCGGCGCCTACTGTTGGTTGGCAGTGGTCCCTGAAAGAACTCTTATGCGGCGCGCGCTTTTGGGCTTCTTGTATGTCGCATACAATGAAATTATCTCCAGAGACAGATTCCTCCCTCCACCCATCAACCCCATCAGTCACGGACTCTCAACCAGGGAAAACTCCAAGCTGGCTTCTCAACATACGAGCAGAACTGGCAGGGAATCATGCCCCCTAAACGCTACCGCGACAACGAGCACACTAGCAGCACTGTTCGTGGGTCTACTCGTTACGCGTACGAAGACGACTTTGGGATGGAGAAGCTGTCTCTTCGAGACAACCGTCATCATGATAGGCAGCGGGAGTACTTGCATGAAGGTGAGTACTATTCAACTAATCATCTGGAGAGGAATCGGGATCGCCGTATTGTAGCCCCGGACTTTAAGCTACGGACTTCTAGTTCCAGTTCCAAATCTTCGAAATCCGGTCCATTTGGGCTAGGGCCTGATGGTCTTAAAGGCCGCTATGGTTCTAGTGGCTATCGTGACTATGAATAAAGAAAGAAGTGTGCATTGTTGTTATGTTGAGCATGCAGTATTCATACGCTTTAGCATTCATTGTTTGTAATATTATTGTTTGCATTGTTAATTATTTGCAAAATAATTGTTTGCAGCATCTGTTTTTTTGCAGTTTCTTTTCTCGCATTGCATTGGCTCGCAAAAAGCAAGAACATGGAGTCGATTATTTGGATTATTTTGACAAAGTCTCCGTACCAAGGGACTTAGACGCCGCTCTTCTTGTACCTTTGATCATTTCCAGTCACATTGCTGACAGTTCCGCCCACGGTATTTCCAACATCTCCAACTGCCTGCCCAACACCTGCTGTAGTTTGACCAAGAGCGTTGCCGAGCCCTTGGGTGGTGGAACCAACAGCACCCACGACGCCTCCTAGGAGACCGCCCTTGCCTTGGGCCTGTTCGCCGCCAGTGAGGACATTATCAACTCCTCCGAGGAGACCGCCCAATAGACCTCCGTTATCGTTGTTTGACATTTTTGTGGAGATATCGTTTGCTCAACGTTTGGGGTTTTATGATGTTCGATCTTCGTATTTGCTCGTCTTTGTAGATAATGAGGAAAGTTCGTTTGAGTTGAATGTTTTTGTTGGAGTTGTTCGAGGCGTAAGGATGGTTTAAATCTCGGGAGAGCATCTGGGATCTACACTCAGTTAAAGGCGTCATGGCGTAATGCAGTATGATGTCAAGCCCCTGCTGACACCACCCGTATGCAAGACACTGAGCCGATGTCATTATGCTCTAACAAAATCAAGGACGATGGCCGTGGGTCAGCCCCAGATTCGGGTCTATGACATACGTTAGCAGGGTTCTCGAGAAAGCTAGACCAATGAGAGTTGTCCATCCCTTTGCCACCATCTTGTCTGTTGGGGGAGGGTGTGTGGAACTCTCCCTCCTAGAGTTGGATCGACGTCAGCCGGCATATAATTGATCGTAAGGTGATAAATTCGATAGACAAGAAACTACCTCTAATGGGGGATTAATCTATGTGTGCGGCCGATCCAGCTCTAATGTATCATCGTGGCTATTTCCAGTATATTATGTTCACCAGCAAGTGCCTGGTCAATAGAATCATGTATTTTAGTCTATGTTGATATTATTCATATAATAATTTCGAGTTTTTTGTGTTGTGACCTCTTTTCATTTCTAATCCTCCCCGTTTTCCAGGAGTAGCTATGGGGCCGATTAATTGGACGGCCACTTGATATATGATATTGACAAAATATTGAAGAATTTTTTGACCTCTTTGCAATATACAGGATCAGGCCTTACTAAGTGACGAGTCTAACGAGCTCATCAAGGACCTTCCACAGTTTCCTCCCTCTTTCTTGTCGCTTCGTCAATGAAAATATAAGTGTACAAGAAACACAGGCTCACAAAAGGCTTTCATTGATTCTTATAGGTTCTGGATTTTACCGATCCAACCATTTAAAGTTCTAAGCGCTCATGTTCACTCAAAAATCAAAATGCAGCCGCTCTTTTTCCTCTAGTGTAAATCGGGCGCTCGCACTGCTGTTCAAACTCAGCCACTGCAGTTTGTGAAGAGGTAGTCCGCCTATAACGGCAGAGACGGTCTGCAACTTGTCCCTTTGCAGTGGTATCAACCAACCTGGCACTTTGCTATACGGTGTTATTCTGCTGAGACTGTGGCGCCTGTATTGTATTCTGTCTCTAGAAAGATAGCTATAATTACTGGAGCTAGCTCAGGTATAATACCTCTATAGTACCCTGTCGGGGTAATTGTGACCGTACCACTGCTGGCTATCTACGTCTGAGTTATGTATTAACTACCCTTACTAGGAATTAACTTCTCGTTTGCTAATTTGCTTCTCTCCCGCGGATGTAATGTCACAATCGCCGACTCTTGTTCCAGGCGCTGGACCTTGTTGTGATCCTCCCTGGCCTGGCGCTTTGCCGCGATAGCTTCGTCGCTGTCTATCTGTTCAGCTAATTATTGAATGGAAGAGGTGTTCTCTTTATTCTTTTGCTGTAGAGATTGGATCTCTTTAAAGACGACTAGTCGTAATCCTCCTTGGCCTGGCGCTTTGCCGTGATAGCTTCGTTGCTGTCCATCTGTTCGGCCAATTTTTGAATAGTAGCGGTATTCTCTTCACTCTTTTGCTCTAGAGATTGAGTATCTGTAAAGACGACCAATCGTTAGATAATGAACTGGTATATATCGGATATATCGGACAGGGCTTCTTCTGTAATCTCACCTCTGGACAGCTGTTATAAGCGAATCTTTTCCTCCTCAGAGAGCTGTTCCATGCCCTTCTCCATTGCATAGATGTTGAAGACAAGCAATATCCAGACTCGAACAGCAGTTGCAAAACCACGAGACACAGGTAGCCCAGTTGCAACAGCAAGTCCAGGAGGCTCAAAATGCAGTAACCCAGCAGCCTGCCGCCGTCCCGAACCCAGTTCCTGCCGAAACCTCTGCAGCATCAGACGAAGCTCGTCAGACCCAGCTCGAGCAGCAGCTTGCGGATGCACGTCAAGAGCTCGAGAGCTTTGGCGTCCAAAAACAAGAAACGTTAGTAGGTACGTGTACCTTTAACATTCCATTAGTAATCAAGTGATCTTAATCGAGGATTCGAGCGATAGCGAGAACTGAGGTGAATTGACTTGATTAAGGAAGAAGAACGTATCTCAAGGCTACAACTAAGGAATCTCTAGGTACTTATGGTTGAAGCCTTGGGCTGGTTGTCACGTGGATATAGGGTAGGTAGAACCTTGACCTACCCTATATCACCGCACTTCAACACATGAGCCAGCTTTTGTATTTCTTCAATTCTTGTCACTTTCTTCTTTCTCTACATGCGCTTCCTTCATTTTCCTGAAGATAAACAAAAGCTGCCTGCTTCCACATTCTTCATTTCACCATGCCGAGAAAACGTCTACCCTGTGATTTCCCATACCATCCAGGACTTGAGCTCTCTATCAAAAGGCACATTCCTCCTGAACCATTTGCAGAGCCCTCGTTCCTCAAGAGTGCAGCTCCCCGACCCATGGCTCAGGATCCCCGAGGAGGTCCATACCGCACACCCCTCGAATGGTGTCTCGACTTCCCTCCAGCCGACACAGAACCTATCAAGGATCCAGAGGTTCGGAGACTACATGTGGTTGATCAAGTCGCCTGCGGAGCAGAGCGCGCGGCGCAAGTTCTACGTTGCTACCTCGACGACACTGAAGGCACAACCTATATCGCCAAGATGTTCGATGCCCTCTACTTCTGGCCTGAGGATGGCGACTATACCTATGAGGCCGACGAGAACTATGCGTCCGAAGCAGCCGCCTATGAAGATCTCATGGAGGCTAGCATGGACGGCCATCTCACACCCCATTATCACGGTTCATGGACGTTTGATTTGCCAGGTCCAAACCCTCATTCATCTTCCACCCGATCCGTCCGCATGATTCTTATTGAGGATATCCCAGGTCGATCAATGGGCGATATACTCAAGAACAACCTGGAGTCCTTTGTCCTCCCAGAACATAGGCTTACCGTCCTTGCTAGAGTCATGGAAATTTATAGCGTGCTTGAGTATATCGGCGTTGTCCATATGGACCTAGCCCCCAGGAATGTGATGATAGCGGGAGTGGATTTCAATACCTGGCCCAATCATACTATACCAGGAGTTATACTTATCGACTTTAATCGGTGCGCATTGCTCAACAGACCAAGCAGCTACTTCCCCCAGGATGATAATCCCAATCCCATAGACCCAAAGACCTACCTTGGCAGGAAATGCCCTACAAAGTGGAAGGATTGGGTCCCCGAACCCCATCGCTCAAACCCAGCAGCCTGGAGAGGTTGGGTGCGCAAGCTTTGGCCCAATAGCGAAGATTACTCACAGCCACATATGAGAGCCCGCCTATTCAGTGACCTTGGAGACTTCATCGAGGTTCCTCCTCAGCCGGACCCACAGTATGTTCCTCCGCCATCACCGCCCGCGGAGTCTGATGAAGAATTTGAACCTGTTCAAATGCAGCGGCGTGCCGAATAAAAACATATAGTCTCATTTTTTAGCATAGCTTGCAATGGAGTACAAGGGCGTTTACGAGGAACTTAGAGATAAGATAGTAGATTGTTTATTCATTTCAGTCACGTATAAAAGCGCTAGAGTGACATCCTGCATGAATTCTCTACGACAGACCTTCTGCCTTGGTTTCTGTCTATATTACAAGCCATAAAGCTATGCATTGCGAATAACATGATTAGTACCTCTGATTGTGGCCAACCCAGAGGCTCCAGGTTTCATCAGCATGGCGATTTGCACAGCTACAGATGGACCATTGCACAGTCGCATAGCTGGACTAAGGTAGGCACAACTTATTTCTTTCATTTTCCTTGGTCATCCTTTCGTGAGGGGGGGCGACCTCAGACTTGTCGTTCGCTTTTATAGAATGTGGATGGTTAAAACACACGTTTAGCTATATGGTATTATCCACAAAAACTCTTGCAAATGAGGAAGAGTCGCGTGAAGACTCATAGCTCATTGTTCACAACCCAGACCGTATCTACTTGGATTCAATACTGATTCAAAGCTTCATCTACATAAAAGGAAGCGGTACACCAAAATTCTGACGACAGAAATACTTCATCGTCACTCTCCGCCGCTGGGCTCTCTGAGCCTCCCCATGCAACTCGATGAAAGATGCGAAAAAGCTTCCTCTGCTCAAAGGGTTCCCGATCTGCCTCAGACGCTCCGCAGCCCACCGCGACTCGTCCTTTTCGAAACATTCGACGCCGTACAGAAACAGAGCTCGGAGGTACCCTGGGTTCAGGGTCCCTCCGCTGGAGCTGCCCCAGTCGCCATCAACGTATCCTCTGATCTGCGCCATGGCGTGTCTCGATTCGATTGATGGAAATATCGGATCCCCGAGAGTTCGGCCAAAGACAATGAGCTCGGCGAAGTACGCGGCTAGGCAGACCCCGGCGAGAGCGACGGTGGGCTCTGCAATGGCAAAATTGAAATGCTCTCGAAGTTCTCTTGGTTGGAGGCGCAATGGCCCAGGCCGGTTATCCCACAAGGCGTACATGGTATCTTTCAGGCCAGTCAAGATGACATTGACTTCAGCCTGATCTCCTGGGGTGGTTCGTGATCGACGGTAGTGGCTTACATCTGCAACTCTGTTCGACACCCTTTGGACCTTGAGATAAAATGCGTAAAGCGGCGTGCTGATGGTATCGTAGAGAGTATCCCCCGGGTCTAGGCTGGTATCTAGAGAAGAGAGGCTTGGCACCTCGGGTATACTTTCAGTCAAGTGGTTGAAAACGGAGTCTGGTAGTAAACTTGGGCTCCCTCCCCTTTTCGCAGCAGTGTCAAGGATCTGCAGCCAAGTACATATCCGCAATGAAATAGGAGATCTGTGGTCAGTTTTCAACCACACATCCAGTCGATTTATGAGCACGGGGTCCATCCACGTAAAGGTAGGGTTGTCTCGATTTGGGAGAATGAGTTGGGATAAAAGAAGTAGGAAGGCGTCGACGAGTATGATATCAAAGTCGATATTGTCATTGTCCAGTACAAACTGGAAACTGCTGATGGCTGCTTGATATAGAGACATGGCGAATTCTGTCGGCAACCTGTCCACCTGAGTTCGATGCAGTGCTTGGGTTGACAGAACACATCTAGCCACCGATACCTCTTGTGCACCAAGCTGTGCTATGCTCTGCTTTATTCTTTTCCAGCCAAGACTGTCAAAAGGTGACAAAAACGGACAGTCTAGCTCATCTGTGAAGTAGGCAAACGAGGCCTCAGTTGGTACCTCATAGGTGACAAACTTGTCCAAACTCAATGTCAATGATATAACTTGTGACGTCCGCTGGAAACGTTCAAGAGAAGAAGCTCCAAAATTCGGATCGTTCTCTTGAGCCTGGCCATCGGGCTCAGGGTATACTGGTGCCTCAGTAGTTGGAGCGGCCGCTGGAAGAACTCCTTCAGGCTGAACATTGCTTGGGAGGCACAGGTTCGGGTCCTCGTTCTGCGATTCCACATGAGATATATCACTGGAGGTGACCAGATCCCTGCAGATAGCTGGATCCTGCAAGCTCTGGATTGGTGACAGAAGCTTGCCAGCGAGGTTCCCGACCTGCCAAAGTGTAGGGGATGCACCGGTCGTGATGCTCGTTTGATCTTCCGAGCTACTAACATATTCCCCGCTTGGGTCATCGAAAATTCGAGGCCATCCCCGTGGGTCCGGTGTTCTATACACACATGGTCTACCTTGCTTGGTGCATCTTTGGCAAGAAGGGCGCTTCTCGTCGCATTTGACTTTCCTAGTTCTGCAAACAAGGCACCCGGTTCGAGTACGGGTTTTACATTTTATGCGAGAATTAGGCACTGGTATATCAGGTTCGATACTCTGCACCACTTCAGATTGATCGAAAGTCGTTGGACCATGAGAACCTGATGGGTTGGGAGACGTTGGTGTGTCACGGGGTGCTGATGACTCTAGAGGCAAGTCTGAGGCCGACGGTGATGGGTTCAAACATATAGATGGCTCAAAAGGTTCTTGTGACTCTGAGACCTCTGAAGGGTCTAAATGGGGAGTTGCGTGTGTGTGAGGCGCCATTGTCGATGATTCAATTCTAGGCTATCAATGACAACTGAGTGCAGCTTGGAACTGGCCCATTCCAGCCTCAGGGGCATTCTTCCCTTATATAGCCCTGGCGGGCGGTAAAGTTACCCTCCACCTCGCTGTGGCTGCTAAAGCTGCGTCACTGGCACTAAACCCGCACTAAAATCCAGTGGACCGACCAAGGCGCCTGGTAACGGCGAGACACTTACAACCTACCCAACCACCTTGGGTCTCAAACGGGTTTTTGATCTCATATTGAACACCATTTGGCGAAAGAGTCACGGAGAAAATTAATTCTTGATTATATTACATCATTCCCTGTGCCATTCCTCCTCAGCTATGCAGTGCACGAGCATCGCTCAAAATCCTAGCAACCTGGGCCACATCGTCACTTATAAGTTGATCTAACAATCCTTCTCGCACCCAATTGATAGCTTGGGCCTCTACATCCACGCCATATTTCTTGAGTGCCTCGAGCCTCGCCGGGGAGGGAATGTGTAAGAAGACCGCGAAGCCTCCCTCGTGGAGCTGGTAAGCCTCGCCACTGGGGAAATGCTGAATCTCGAGGTTGACTGCATCTAGATTTGCTTCCCTTGCTAAGGCGGCAGGATCGATGAGCCGCGAATGCGAAATTCCTACCGTCGGGACCTCTGGAATGATTTCCTTGACCGCCCGAAGCTGGACAAAGTCGAAGGAAGAGAACTGAAGGAGATCCGCGCACTGCAGCTCATCGATCAAAGTTCTAAGCTTGGCGAAGATGAGGTCGTTCTGGTCGTAAATCTTGAGCTCGAGCTGGTAGATGATCCCAAGCTCTCGCGCCAGACGGAGGGCGTCGGTCAAGCGCGGGATCTGCTCTCCAGCAAACTTGTTGTCAAACCAACTGCCTGCATCTAGCTTCGCAATCTCTGCGTAGGTCATGTTACGAACAAGGCCGTGGCCGTCAGTTGTCCGGTCCACGGTTTCATCGTGAATCAGAATGAGCTCGCCGTCACTCGTGAGAGCAAGGTCCGTCTCGCATGTCACTCCCTTGCCACCAGCGTCGACAGCGTTGCGAAATGCAGCGAGCGTGTTTTCCGGAGCACCAGCACTGAAGCCCCGGTGCCCAGCAACTCGGACGGTTTGTGGTGTTGTTCTTAGGGGATTCATATCTGGGTAATACACATAGTCAGCCCAGAGGGAGGCAGAGCTGTGACAAGTAAGAATATCGGTGCTCACTATTTAAATTCAGAACTAGACTTGGAAATGTGAGAACGAGCGTGGGAACGATACGGGCGAGTATCTAGCCCGACTGACGTGGCTCAATTAACCCGTTCAGAGGCGTACCTATCACAATACCACACAATATATAGGCTTGTCTAAGGGCAGGCATCCTTTATAATAGAGCCCCAGCCAGTGGGCTTTCGCTTAAGATGGGTCTTCAGGAATGGCTTCTCGCCAAAAGCGGAGCACTTTCATCCAGGTCATCGCTTATAGCGGGTCTTTCGGGTCAGGGACTTTGGCATGAATTAAGCGAAGCAGTTGGGCGTTAGCTTCTCGCCGATCCCAACGACACCGAGGGCTAGGTTTGTGACTGGCTTGCTTGCTCCCTATTTCTAGCCTTACTTGTAGACAACGCCACAAGAAGTGCGATGAAATGAAGCCTATGTGTGGACCTTGCACGGTCTCAGCCGGCCATGTCTCTGGCCTCAAGATGACGGGTCTCACTCCTCTAGACAATTGAACCAGTTGGGAGTGGTTGGAACCACCTACCCTAAACTTCGTACAATCGGGATAGAATCAACAAATGAGTTCAGACTTTATTTTCAGGTGCAACTAGAATCTAGTGGAATACTATCATCTCTTTAATGGAGAGAACTTTTTTTAATTAAAAAAAAGCTTCGAACAATGATAGTTATTCTCGCTATTTGTTGGTTTACACTCTTGAAAGCGTTCTATTCAACATCTTTCCTCGACTAGGATAGTCTTCATTGTCGCTAGAATACGATCGTGAATACCTCCCCTAGCTACAACCAAACCCCTGTTACGGTTCAAATCTCTCCCTGCGCAGAAGTCGATTTCGTTCCCATCCAAGTCTGTCACCTTTCCACCAAGCTCTGTGAAAATCAATTGCGAGCCCGCATGATCCCAGATGGGCATCTTGGTTGCCGGACCTGCAGGAATCAGAAAATGCACATCGCCGCCACCAACGATCAGCGCCGCATATCGAATATGGGATGACCATATCTCCGTATTGGGAAAAGTCGTCTCAAACTTGTCCGCTAGTTTCGCAATAACATCGTGGCGGCAGGTCACAGCAGCGGCACAGTCAATGATGTGAAGCTGCTTGGAGCTCAAGGGTCGTAGCGTTTCCAACGGGCTAGAATGTCCTAGGCCGATTGAGGTCATGGTGCGGATTGCTGAGCCTTGCCCTCGGACGGCCGTGAGCATAATACCCAGTCCCGTCTTGTCGACCTCGTTTTCTGTAATTCTGGTCATCTCGGCGCTGATGTTTGGGCAGCCTATTATCCCGATGACCTCCCTCCCGTCTTCGATGAGAGCTAAAGAAACAGCATATTGCTGACCCTTTAGAAAGGCAGCAGTTCCATCGACTGGGTCCATCACCCAGAACCTCCCCGCCTTACACCTGGTCTTGTGACCGCCAAGATCTATCAGGTCCAACATTTCTTCGATAGATTCTGGCTTGGGTAAAGGTTTTCCCGAATCTTGTAGGTTGATCACATCTTCTGCAGCCAGTATAAGATCGTACACTTTGTCCCGAAGTTTCTCATCGCCCCTCAAAGCAGCCGAATCTTCCTCCCCCAAGAACATATCATTTGGAAAGGCGTGATGAAGAGCCTTGATAATAAGAGCCTGCGCTGCGAAGTCTGCAATGGTAACGGGTGAGTTGTCTTCCTTGGGGATCTCAGAAACGCCAGATTGGACCCGTTTTGTGAGAATCGAGGCACGTAGAACAGCTAGTTCGGCTATGTGCCGTTCATAAGCATATGCCGACATTTCTTGCTATTTCGGCTCAAGTTCGACTGAGTATAGACGTGAAAGTAGCTCCGAGCTCTTCAAAGTGAAGCTTTCTGTAGTTGAGATTCCGTTTGTTGATATGGTTGTTTGAACTAGCCTGAGAGTGTTTAGTGCCAAATTATTTAATATGAATATACTTTGAGTGATTCGTAGGGGAATTTCTTACATCAATGTAGGCAACACTTTCGTTCAGACTATAGAGAAGCTTGGAGGTTCAAGCCATTGCTTTCCGATATTATCCTCATCCTGAAGCAATAATCCGAGAACGTGCGCTTTTAATACCTCCCTGCTCAGAGGACATTCGCTTGTTGGTTTCTGCTTCTCGCTTACAAGTGGGGACCATTGATATAGAGCTATATCAGAAAATCTTTCTCCTAAGGGATCTGCATTTCCAAGGAGGTGGCTAATCCACGTGTCTTCACAACTACGAGTCAGTCGCTTATTGTGGATAGGTATCTCGGCAAAAAAATCGTGTCGGAACTATGAACCAAATTTACTACTAACGCATTACCCCATGGTGTTATGCATGTCCTAACTCTTGTAACTAATTGGCTGCTCACCACCTCCACAAACATTCTTTCCCCGGATGGCTGCTGTTGGGGATCTCTATAAGATGCTGAGTCGGGATGTCGTTGACCAAGTTTCGATGCATCCCCAGACTCAAGGTTACAATTCATTCTTCATAGAAACACCTCGTTCAATTCTTCCAAATTGGTGATTTGAACATCATGGAAAAGTCTTTCGAAACCACCGAGGCCATGCATGCCGAAATCCGCACCGATGCTGAAGTCGCAACGGCTTGGGAGCATTCCCTGACCCCTCGCCGTGCCTTCAAGGTTTATCGGAGTGCAGTTTGGTATGCCGCTATCGTTTCCATCGCCCTTGTCATGGAGGGATTCGACACCAAGATCATGGGCTCCCTTTTCGCGCAGCCCGCCTTTCAGAAAGACTTCGGTTTTCAGGCATCCAACGGAACATATCAGATCTCGGCCCCGTGGCAGAGTGGGCTAAATGGAATGTCAGGCGTCTGCTCTATAATCGGGATGTTCCTGGGCGGCTACGTGACTGAAAGATTTGGCTTTCGGAAGACCATGATGGCCACGTTGTTTTCAATGCCTCCCATCATTTTCATATACTTTTTCGCACCAAATCTTGCAGTCATAGCTGTTGCCCATTGTTTTATGAGTGAGTGGGCTTCAGAAAAAAACTTGAATCTCGAGACTAATGGATATGTAGCTTTACCTTTGGGTATTTTCCAAACTATCACTACAGTATACGTTGCTGAGATTATGCCTACCGCCCTCCGTCCCTATCTTACAAGCTTCTATTCTCTTGTTTGGGTAAGTACTCTGCAGGTTGCAACCGAGATGAGAAAAACACGCTGACACTTTCAGGCCTTTGGCCAACTTTTGAACGCAGCTGTCTTCCGCGGCACTCTTAGCTTGCCTAGTCCATGGGCATACCGTGTTCCATTTGCTCTCCAGTAAGTCTCATGCAGTACTGGATGCAAAGCGTCATTTAACAAGTAGAATAGGTGGTTCTGGCCCCTGATTCTTGTCTTCGGGGTATTTTTCATGCCGGAATCTCCCTGGTGGCTCGTCCGTCAGAACCGTTTAGACGAGGCAGAGGTCATCATATCACGCTTGACCTCCTCCCAGGAACTGGATATCGACATAAAGAAAATCGTCTCTTTGATGGTGTTTACTACGAACCACGAACGAGACATGGAATCCAGCACCAATTACCTGGCGTGTTTCAAAGGCGTCAACCTCGGCAGGACAATCATCGTAATGGGTGTTTACATCATGCAGGTCGTCACCGGCGCGCCCCTGCGAGCATACATGACCTACTTCTTCCAGCAGGCCGGTCTACCTACAGATCAATCTTTCAACATGTCCATCGTCGCGTTGGTGGTTTCAGTTCTTGGAGTATTCGGCGCGGTGAGTATCCCAAGCCATACTACAGACAGCATTAGACTGACTTTGCCCTATGCAGTGGGTGGTGATGACCTTTGCCGGGCGGAGAACAATGTATCTCTGGGGGAACCTCATCTCGATTGCACTCTTCACAGCTATCGGAGGCATGGGCATCTCGCTCCGGCAAGCGCCATCACAGGCATTATCGTGGGCCATCGGCTCGCTCCTCGCCATTGACGGCTTCGTCGCGAACTGCCTGGTCCTGCCAATCACATTTGTTCTGGTTTCAGAGATCCCATCATCCCTCCTTCGCAGCAAGTCTGTCGTCATTGCGCGCAACACATACACTGCCGTCAACATCGTTGCCGGCGTCATCACACCGTACATGCTCAACCCCACCGCTTGGGGCTGGGGCGCGCTGACTGGGTTCTTCTGGGCTGGGCTGTGCGTTTTCGGATTCCTGTTCACATTTCTCATGGTCCCAGAATCCAAAGGAAGAACGATTGCGGAAATGGATATCCTCTTTGAGAAGAAAGTCCCGGTTCGGAGGTTCAAGGAAACCAAGGTTGACCTTGCTGATGCTGATGAGATCCCAGAGCGTCCGTAGACCGCCATCAAATTCATGGTGCAAACAAAGCCATCCGGTATATATGTCACTTTGGTAGGAGGGAATTAGGTCGAGTTGTGGACCGTTCACAACGGACAATGAGAGGTTAGAAAACCTATAAAGACAATCCATAGCATCAAAGTGAAGCCCTCCGCTTACACCTATAGTCTAATAACGCAAAAATCTCTTTGATAATATTCAGCGGTTACTCATAGAATACTGCTTGTCATCTGTCCCACCCTTGCACGGTTATTCAAATGGAGTGGCAAACCAGCCCTCTTTGTACAGCGCCCAGCTCTTCAATAGCCTCCGATAAATTTGTTTCGCATTCTCCCAGCAGCTCTCTGAGACTCCGATCCCGTTCACTCCAGTTCGAGAGGAATGCTTGGCCCTCTGGGCTCACCCTCCAGCCCTCGGGCTTGGAATCCCATGTGCGATGAAACTCCCTTTCATTCTGACTTCTCATCGTCCTGAGGTGTCCAATCATCATTATGAGATCGGCACTCCTCTCCTCCAGGAACTTTTTGTGGGCCACGAGTCGCCCAAGTGTGCTCATTTCAGGATATATTGCTGCTTTGGTGTATGGGAGTAGTAGAAGATAGAGGTCTGATGCTTCGTATGCGCTTTCTCGTCAAGTCGGGGCACTCGAGTTGAGCAGGTTGAAATGTCAACAAGAAAGAGTTCAGGTTTCTAAAAATTTGGATTCTTTGAGCTTAACTACTCATTTTCGTCTCATTCTCACAGATTAATTTATTGTACGTGAAGTAATACCGTCTGGTGTATGACAAGCATGTTTCATGGGTGTGATGGAAGGCTAGCTAAAGTCGATTCAACCACACTCAGAGATTGGGGCCGGGAACACTAATCCTCGCACCAGAATGACAAACAAAGTAATTTCTATGGTCAGTCATCCCATTAGCATCCTCTTTTGGGCACTTCATAACGGGACACCCCCTGCTATTCTCATTCCCACGCTACTCGAACTGCCAGGCATTGCTCAGTCCTCTTTCGAAAACCACGATCAGGTGTTCATATTATCTAGAATATCGGATTGCCCAGATACTTCTAGCGTCTCCCATCCTCCGAGTAAGCCCAATCAGACACAAGACCGCGGTAGATGACAATTGCGTGGCGCGGTTGGCCTAGATGCTGAGCCTTTCAGGTCCCGTTTCCCATTTCTGAACCTAGTCTAATCGTATCTCTCCATATTGTATATTTAATTCAATTCTACATGATTCTCAATGGCATATCATCAATATAAGAAATCTAGGAACAGGTATTGAAAGAATATCAACTACTGATTAACAGCTATTTTGAAGTTTCCTGTTTGAGAATCATACAGTACATGATGTACACTCATTTACAGAAGAGTAGGAAACCTGTATGGGTACTTGTGGGTAGGCTTGGCCGTGGTTCCCTCTCCCACAGATCGCTTTGCCGCAGTGTCTCTCTCGGGGAAGCCCTTGAATCCACTGGCGCCATAGTAAGCAACGGCATGGGCAATACCCTTGGACATGACGCCGAAGCAGAATTCGTTCAAATTGGCAACGTCATCCTCGGCACTGTGGTAGTTGGGATCAAGGATAGCGCCAAGGGTGCCGCCAAACTTGTCAACCCACTCCTGGGTCTTGACCTCGTCTGCTCCGGCATCCAAGCCACCGCATGGGACACCAGCATCCAAGAAGGGACCGTAGTCGCTTCGTCCATTAAATTCGGTAGCGGTGTGGTTAAAGCCATTGGATTCGTAGTACTCCTCAAAGAAATGCTCGGCTTCGGCAGAGCCAGCAGGACCGGCCTCACCAAATTCACTTCCATCACCATCATAATGGCCAAGGATGTAGTTGGGAGACGCAATCATGTCAAAGTTGAGGTAGAGACGAATCTTCAGGAGCTCCTCGGCGGAGAGGGTCCCCACGTAGTAGGTCGATCCAAGAAGTCCGGACTCTTCAGCGGTCCACCAGCCAAACTTGATTTGAGCCTTGGTGCTGTACTTGGCTAGCTGAATAGCCGTCTCCAGCAGACCAATAGTTCCGCTGCCATCGTCGTTGATGCCTGGACCAGCGGACACGCTGTCGCTGTGCGCACCAATGAACAGGACATTATCAGGGCTTCCGTACTTGGACGTGGCAATCACGTTGTTGCTAGCCCGGCTATTAGCAAAGAAAGCAGTGTCAGAGGAGCAATGATGTGAAATACCTTTGAACAAGCTCAATAACGGTGGCGATCTCCAGCGAGGTGGTGAGAGTGGTGTTGCTGCTCAATGCGACGAGAGCCTCACCATCTGCCTGAGAGATACCACCGCCAGGGACAGCGTCGTCGAGAATTCCACCGTATGTTCCGGAGACAACGCCTGCATTTTCGTTGTTCCAGAAAATAACACCGATAGCACCGGCGGTCTTTGCATTTTGCGACTTAAGGGCAAAGGTGCATGACCCGCGGTGAACCAGGGCAACGCT